TCAGATCCATCTACAGAGAGATATACAATACTATTCAAATATTCAATTAAAGTTTGTTAGATTAAGTCTTTGTTTGCTTTTATAAAGATATGGTGGAAAGAACACAACAGATGGACAAAAGGTAGAATGGAACTATTTTCCTTATTTGGTTCAGCAAAGAAATGAAGAAAAAGAAAGAAAACAGGTTCAGTCTTGCAGAAAAAAAAAATTCTTATAACTAGTTTTTGAAATTTATATTTCTATCTATCTATATATATCTTTGAAAGTGATGGAAAATAGTTTAAAAAAATGGTATAAAAAATGGTATAAAAAATGTGTATAATAATTTAAGTCAAAAAATCTATTCCCTTTCTAGTCAAGATTTATAGGTTTGGGAGATAATTAAGAACTATTTTATTATAATTTTGTACTTATTTTAAATCATATCTCTTTAACAAAGTATAAGTTTTATATTAATTTAATATTGTTTTAAATGTGAACGTTGTCAAGAAAAAATACATGAAATATTAATAAATAATATAATGTTCATCATAAAGTTGATGGCGAAACTATATTTAAGCCCTAAAAAATATTAAAATTTATCATTTGGTCCCTCACTTTTAAAATAGATTATTTAAGTTTTGAATTTATTTTATTTTATTTTGACGTAATCTCTGCACTTGGCTTTTAATTTGTTTAGTCCATTAAGTATTTATGTTGTTTTTCAAAAATGAAAGATCAAATGTTCAACTCGTATATTTAGAGGTATTAAGTGATATTAGGACTGAAGTAAAATTTATGATATTTAGAAATTTTAAATAAATAAATTATTATATTCATAAAAAATAAAAAAAATTAATTAAATAAAAATAATCTTTAACAAACAAAGCAAAATGAAAAACTAATGAAGAAACTATATAACAAATTATATATATATATATATATATATAGCTAAAATTAATTTACAATACAAAATCTAAACAACATGAAATATATCATTTTTACGAATCTTTACAAGTTTAATAAACAAAATTAATACAATAAACATTTATAATTTTAAGGAAAAAATTTAGATATTTTTATTTTTTGTTTTTAAAATATAATATATTTCTAATGCAAAGTTTTTATATTTTACTTTATTGTGAAGCTGCACAACGTTTTAAATAGGCTTTAATTAAAATGTCAACTATTTAGGATTAGAAAATAGTTTGTGACAACACTTTTGTTTTGTAGCACAAGCATACAAGTTGTTATTGAAAGGGCTATCATAAAATAGATATAAAATATGTAGATAATGACATAGTAAAAAGGTTAAACTAGATTTAAAATACCTACCCGCTATCAACTAACTTAAAAATCTTCTAAAATTATTATCACAGACATCACTGTCATTTTGTAATTGCTTAGTTAAACACTTCACCTGTCACTTTCTGTAGTAGCTTTAAATTAATTTCCCAGTATATGTTTCCTTAACTATCGCCAACATGCTAATTAGTAATTAACTAATCATGATTTATATTTCTTTATGTGATTTGCACATCATTTCACACGGCCTGGCTTAAAAAATAAGTGATAAGAGGGCGTACTTCATAAATTATTATATAGTTAATGGACTAAACGGATTAATCAATCTGACTTCAAATTGTATTGCTCATAGAAACGTGATAACAATGTTACTTTCTAATTTTTCTTCTTTGGAATATTTTTGGGTATTAATTAATGCAGTACAAAGAGAATTTCCAAGGATCATTTGAATATGGATCAAAAGGAACATGAGGAGATTTGAAGGGGTAAAGTGACAGATCAGTTCAAAAGTAGATTAATCCCAAGAAGAATTAAATTGTGAATAATTAAGTCAAAGCATAGAATTCGTAATTGCTATATAAGAAAAAACAAATCATTAGCCTTGACTTTTTCACCACAAATTACGATTTCTTTGACCTGTTGCCTTGAAATTATTTTTATGAAACATATGCAGCTTCATGTTATGATTAAGCTTTTTCGAAACTTTAAATTTTACTTTTTGTATATCATGCAAAACTAGATTTGCAAAACAAAACAATACAATTTATCTTTATTGTTCTTATAATTAAGGGCACGATTGGAAGAGAATAATTTTTATATATACACGAATTCATGATTTATATTCCCCGCAGTTCATAAAGTCATTCTTGCAGGTTTTGGTAACTCGGAAATTTAATCATGGTGAACAACAACATAAGGATCAAGCATAAATCATTGCAATCACGTCTAAAAACCTTCAGAATATATAAGTAACTGGAAAATATGAGTTACATATTGATAAAAGTAAGTAAAAAGCAACGTTTATTTTTGTCCTAACAAATATTATATATTTGAATATTCAATTATGGTTTCGTGCAAGAAACTAACATAAAAAACCAGGTTGAATGATATCGTCTTTTATATATAACTTTTTGCCTTTCCATGATATATATTTGTATAGAAGTTTTGACGAGTTGGTTTTATCAGTTATTGATGGATATATTGATTTAGTTTAATTGCAAAACTAGTGTTCGTGGGTGTGAAGTGTTTAGCAGGAAAATTAAATACTTAGTGTGTTAATTAAAGTCCAAATAACTTGAAGTATTAATTAAATAGTTTTAATATATACTGAATAATATATGTATTTACTATTTATATATATATTTCAAAATATCTTTTAATCTAAATTGATATTCAGTTATTATTAGATTTGATTAAACTTAAATTAAATGAGAGACTCGTTGAAAATTCATGTTAGTATAGGATATTATTATAAATAAGTGATGAAAAAGATCGAGATACGTCTGTTTCTCTTCCTTTTTCGTTTTAGTTGTTATTAAAAATATGTCATATTTGCTAATATTTAATGTTAGATTAACACATATTTTTTGTTTAATAAATACTATATTATTAATATAAATTCATATTAAAAATATGATAAATCTTATAAACGATATAATCAGACATGTAAAGCATGTGAAAAAATTACAACCATATGAAAAGCACACGTGTATCGATACATCAGACATGCTTGACTACGTACAGTGCATGCGTTTAGCTAAGATATAATGTTTAATATATATATACACGTACGCATAAACTTGAAATTTAACCCAAACGCGTTTTCTTCATGTTTATGTCATTTACATAGTTAAGATTGCGATATGTTACCTTTCTTTAATGACATCCTCTTTTCAACATATAAATTAAAAATCAATTAGCTGTTAACTGGATAAAGATTTATAGTGGGAATAGGCTTCATTGATATTATTTCATAATATTATTTATATGGATAGGTCGTCTATTATACTATTATATCATTATACATTATATTTTAAGACTTGCAATTTGTTCTAACCTTGAAATAATGATCCTCCTAAACATCTTCCCATATATAAATATATATGTTTTTGAATGTAAATGTCAAATGTATAACTACTCCCTGATATAAGCATGCTTGTCTTCACATTAATGTTATTTTTTTCAAACATTTGTCTGGGTAGAAAACGTGATGTAATTTTTCTAAAATAATAATTGACCTTTTCATCAATTACACCAAATAATATATATAATTAGAGAGAGAGATTTAAGTTGTTTACTAACACAAATATAGAAAGAAAAGGTAAAGGATAATATATAAAAGGCTTCAGATACATAAAGTGATGTAGTTTTTCTAAAATGGTAGCCTTTTCATACAATATATTACACCAAATAACATATATAATTAGAGAGAGAAAGAGATAATTAATTTGTTTAGTAAAGCAAAGATAAAAAGGAAAGATGAACAATAATAAAAGGCTTAAAGTTTATATTTTATAAATGAGTAAGAGAAACCCATGTAGAAATTAAACTAGGAAATCATTCATATACAGAAGTATTAATTATTTGCTGTATTTTGTTATGTAAATATTTGGGAGTTGGGAGACAAAGAGGGGGTAGAACAGATGTTTGACTCAAAAGGAAGAAGTGTTTTTAAACAGCGGAGGATGGAACAGTGTCGAGTCCACGTGCAGTTGTAAGGATTCTAAGCCAAATAATGTTGTTAGTTACGACCGAAAAAAGCTAATGAAATCAAAACCTAAAACATATCTATCCCTCTGCGTACAGCTTCCAAATTTAGTGTAACAATAATACCAAACTCTTCCCCCAACCATTAATTTTCTTACATATATTTCCTCCAATTTGTATTTTGCATGTCACACAAACATATATGCCAAAACTAGCTAGTCTTCGTCTTAAGTGAGAACACTGTGCATTGTGTTGATTTTTCTGTTAAAGTAATTGAATTTATTTCATTATTATTATTATTATTCTAAAAGCAATCGATGTCAATTGGCTCTATACATTCATGTACGCTTTAACATAATCGATAGCAAAGTGATTTACGTTTTATTGTTGATGTCACATGTAAGACACATACCCATTTGGAAGGGCAAGAAAATCATCTAGCTTCGATGTAATTCCATTAGTAAATACATATTTTATGGAAAATAAGCACGCTTGGTGGGTTATAAGTAGACGTTGTAGGTTAGAAACTTGGAAAGATGTTGAAATCAGAACCAAACTCGCTCCTCTAAGCAACCTCTTTTCTTTCCCTCACATCATGTGTGTGTATATATGTATACATATTATTCTATATTATTATTATTTTTATATCTATGTATCTATGTGTATTACTTATAAGACGGTTTGTTAGCCAAAACGTTTGCATCAATCGCAGGTGTAAGAGGTTTGTCCAATCCCTCCAACTCTCTAACGGAAAACACTTTCCCATCTTCCCCCACCATATATTCTCTTGTAGTGTCTCTTTCCATTCCCTTGTCTTTATTGTTAGTTTCTTATCTCCTCTTTATCACTGTATTCCTCTCTCTTATTGCTTTAGTATTCTTCCCTCATCATACCTTCGAGTTCATATAACATAGGGAAAAGGAAGATATATAGATCAAACAAGAGGGTAGGGAAATAATTAACCCTATTCTTGAATTAGGGTTTTCTCTCTCTCTCTCTATCTCTCTCTCTTCTTTTTCTGTGCTTGTATTTGTTTTTATTAGTTTCTAGGAAGAGATAATATGTGCAGTAGAGGCCATTGGAGGCCAGCTGAGGATGAGAAGCTTCGAGAGTTGGTGGAACGCTTTGGACCTCATAATTGGAATGCCATAGCTGAGAAGCTCCGAGGAAGATCAGGTGAAATAATCATTTCATGTCATCTTATTCATCTTCTTCTTACAACAACTTTTTATCCATGATCAGATCAAAAAATAATTTGATCAGTAAACATTAATTACATTAACGAGAAAATATCTTAAAAAATGAGTTCGACCTAACTCATTCAATTCAACTTTGGTCGTATTCTGATAATAATTTGCAATTTTTTTAGTAACAATAATAATTGCCTTGTAAAAATTTCATTAAAGCTGTAGGCGATTTTTTTTTACGAATAAAAATTTTGGAGTAAGAAAACAGTGTCTCTTGAAAAAATTATTTAGTTTTACTCAACTAACTCGTGGAGATATTACGATAGGTAGTTTGTGGAAAACAGCAACTAGTTGTGTAATAATTAAGTAGCTAATATTAGTATAGAATTACGATTTCACTAATTAATTAGTTTTGTCTAGGGTTAGTTTAAAAGATTAAAAAAATATAAAGATTTCCTATATTAAATATAAAATCCTAATATCTAAGGAGCATATATCAAGTGAAAGCACTACTATAAGTTATAAGCTTGTGAAGTTTAATAAATTTTATCATAATTAAGTTAACCGTGAATTGTGTGCAGGGAAAAGTTGTAGGTTGAGATGGTTCAATCAATTGGACCCAAGAATAAACAGAAGTCCTTTCACAGAGGAAGAAGAAGAGCGTCTTCTAGCTTCTCACAGGATTCATGGTAATAGATGGGCTGTAATTGCAAGACACTTCCCTGGAAGGACTGATAATGCTGTTAAAAATCATTGGCATGTGATGATGGCAAGGATTAGAAGAGAAAGGTCTAAAATTTACAATGTAAAACAGCCTCTTTTTTCTCCCAACCTTGAGACTAATTTTGAGACTATTCCTTCTTTTGTTGAGAAGTATTATGAAAAGTACAACCACCCTTGTGTCACAAGTAGCCCCTTCCAATTTCCTAAGAAGTTTTACTTTCAAGATCCAAGTTCCACAATGCCTCAAGGTACATCCATTTTCATGCTTTGTACAACTTCAATAACTAATTTCATTAAAAAAATAATAATTGATGTTATATACTGACAGAAAAAGAAAATTACTTAAGGTTCATTGCCATTGTTAATATAGTAGTTGTCTAACAGGAATTAAACTATTAATATAAACAGTATGAGTTTCTGGTTATAGTTGTATAATGGACCAACGAAACGTAATAATTCACATTGTCTATCTTAAATAATAATTGTACTATTTACTTTGTTGTTAATAAATGATAATTTTTCGTAACATTTGCATATAATTGTGTATAGTTCACCAATCATATGTATCTATAAAAATTACTACTTTTTTTTCACATTGGGTGTGAGTTAATAATGAAAATCTTGTTGTGTTTGTTTGATATTATTACAGACAAGAGTCAATCGGTGGAGTTTTATGATTTTCTTCAAGTAAATACCGATTCCAATAAAAGTGAAGTGACAGACAATGCCAAAAGAGATGATGAGGAAGTGAATCAAGATAATGAGGGACAACAGAACAAGGACAATGGTGTTCCATTCATTGATTTTTTGTCTACTGGAAGCTGCTAACATAATTGCCAAAGTACAACTTAATTACCCATTTGTATGAATTGAGCCTGACTAGAACAAAATCTCGATGTAGATATGATCCATTCATGTAACTAGCTACTGTATTCACAAACAGTAACATATTTAAGGATATGTGTACATTTGTAACATGTAAAAAGTGCTTATGAGAAACCCCAATGCATCAAAAATCAAAATATTGCATGATGTGAAGTGAAGAAAATTATAAATGTCATCTTTTGCAGTTTTAATTAAAGATTCTATATGTCTGCATGTACTTCAAAGACTAGCTAGGGGATGATGATATCATGGTTTGGTATTATTTGCATAATTGCACGGTTGTTTGTTGTTCTAGGTAGCCAGATTGTATAGGCAGAGATCGATAGATTGACACCAAATTTTCTTTTGCCTTCATTATTAGTTCTTAAATCAAATAATAGATTATCTGTTATTTTTTTCTTCAATTCAATAACATACTCTAATGAAGTCGATTTAATGTTAAATAAAGTATTTTCATCTCATTGTTTAATTTGAAATTTTGATTATAAGAATTTTAAAATTTTGAGCTAAATTTTATCTTTTATAACCTTATCTTTAGAAGCAAAGAAAGAAAATGGTCATAATTCGGGGTGTTAATGATTAAATCAAACTGATATTGCTTAAAAAAATTTCAAAAGATAAGAGCTATTAATTTGGTAAAAGTAGAATTGGATATAGTTTTTTTCACCTCTATATTAAATTAGAGTTTAATGTTTTGAGGGTAGTTAAATCTCTTTATATATACTTACAACTCATGTCATTTTTTTTATTGAATTTTTAATTTTAAATTCTTTTTAATTGAATATGTCCATCTTTTGGATAATTTTCTTTTAATTCGTGCTTTTATAATCCATTTAATTAGATTATGTATTATTTTTAAATTTTTATCTTTAAATTTATATTTTATATATTTTACTCGAATTTCAAAATATTTGTACCATATATAAAATTCCTCTTAGTTACAATAAAACAACCACTCACGTAATGATCAACTAATTACGTGGTCAATCTCCTAATTCATACAGACACTTATTGTATATATAAATAAATTGGATAAATTTAAAGTAAGCCTTTAACAGCAAATATATTTTTGTTAACTCACTTTAACAAGTTTATATGTGTATGTTTGATAAAAGTAAATGTGCCTTAAAGAAAAGGCAAAGATCTGTTAATAATAAATTTAAAGAAAAATCAAAAGGAAAATGGATTCGTGTTCTCCTAATTACGTTTTGTTTAGAAAGTTAGCAAGAAAGGGTAGAAATTAATAGAGATGAATTAGACAAATTGAAAAGAAGTCTTTGATTGATAAGGGAAAAGAAAGAGGAATGTAAAAGATTGTCCACAATTGCATCCAAAATCTTCTAAAGAAACATTTGAATTATCTAATCAACTCTTTTAAAAGTAACTAAAAAATTAAGGAAGATCTTCCTTGTTTTCTTTTTTTTTCTAACATTAACAGCGTGTAAGTGTAGTAAAAACAATACTTTTTAACCAGTGACTAATTAATATTTAACTATGCTTTTTAAAAAAAATATATCAACAATAAAATAATTTTCTTGCTATTTCAAGTAAGTTGGATAGACGTAAGAATATTAAACATTAATAATTAAGGGATGTTGGAATCCTAGCAAAAATAAATGGTACCCAAAAATATCTCTGTAAATGAAATGTTCTAAAAATATCAAAATGCTATTCCATTAAATTTGGAATTTTGAGATGGGTTACTTCATATCTCCTATATTTAAATATATATATATATATATATATATATATATGATAATTAAAAGAAATTGTTGAAGTTGCTAGCTTCAATTGATTCGGTTTATATTCTCAAGTTAGCATAATCAACCATATGTAGCCGGTAAACTAGATTTCGTTCCTGCATTATGCGTGGATATATTTATGATAAGTAATAAATAAAAATTATTATAAAAGCATAAGTTTATTGTTAATTGATTTTAAAAATATATATTATTAATAAATTATAAATTTAATTAAAATGTATTGATTGCATAAAAAAATTGTTATATTGCTATGCGAATGATTGATTTTTATAATAATCATTTTATAACTAGTTAATAGTGTAGAAAAATTGATATTGATAATAGATAAACTATAGTCATAAATTATTTCATAATTAATTTAATAAAAAATTACATTATAGTATAAATTTTAATTATTTTATCATAAATAAATATTTTATTATTTTATTTTTAATATTATTATATTTATATGTATGATAATTAAAGAATATATATTATAGTTGTAGAGAGAGAAATATATGAAAAAATGGACAAAATAGTAACCAAAATTAAGATTCAATTTTACAAATTAAAAATTATGGCCACTAATATTCAAATATTGTAATATTAAGTATCCGATTAATTTCGTCAAATTGGATAAAATGACCGTGAATAACAAAATTTATTATAAAATCACCACTAAAATAGATATGGATATTTTTAAATGTAAATGAAAATTAAAAATATAAAAACTTAAGTGACAAAGATCATAAAATAAAATCATTTTTGTCGTTTAAAATTCGTGTAAGCCTTTTTACTTTTTGAGTTTTTATTTTACCATTTTATGATGTTAACAACTCAAGCTAGTAGGTTATTTAAATTCACACTACTTATGTTTTGTTTTTTTAAGTAAGTTAGGCTAACACCTCAGCTCATGAGTAGGAATCAGTCCTTGGGATTATGTGCATAGCAGAAAAAGAACCTTTATTTGTCTTATTTTCACATAAACCGTTTTTGATAATTTTTTTAATTCTTAAAATTGAGTTTAAGCAATTAAAAATATTAAATTTTTATTAAAATATTAAGGGAAATATTTGATGTTATGAATAGAGTGGGGCTAGGTAGCAAGCACGACAGACAAGTTTTATTGAAGTTCACTGTCATTTCCATTGTTGTTTACTAAAGCAACAAACGCTCCGAAAACAAGACGTTGTTGTTTAATGGAAGAAAATTAAGTGACTGTCTTTCTCATTTTGGTTTTAAGGGCAAATACAAACACACACAAAAAGGATGAACATCTGAAAAAGATAAATTTTATTTAAAAATTATTATTTTGAAAAAATATGATGGGATGATAAATACTTTCTTTTGTAACAAAAACTTACTATTTATATATGTTTATAATTAGTTTTAATAGTTGATGTCAAGACTTTTTAAAATTAATTATCAGTTCAACAATTCTAGGAAAATTACGCTAATGCAACATACATCAGTAACTTAATTTTCAGCTAGAAAAACCAAAAGTAAAATTTCTATGCAAACTTTGAATAATGTAACATGAATGATTAAATTCCTATAACCCCCCATCTGAATTCACTTTCGTAATCATCTAGAATAGTCCCTCTGTGCTAACCTGGGAAAATTTTAACACGTGGCACAGAGGGACCTTGCTGCTATATATGTAAATATATAGTTCTAAATATATGCACGATGTCCACAAGAAGGAAATCCAAGATTCCAAGTTATTCAAGAACATGATTGGAAAGCATAGAAGATTTTATCCGTGCGTGAGATTCCAATTTTATTCTTTCAAATATTTTGGCTCAAGTTTGTTTGATCATCCTGTCACTCAACTGGAAAATTGACCCCTCTAAAAAGAAAACAAAAATAGACACGAAAACACACGGTGGATCTAGGTGAGAACAAAAACCGTTGTCGGTGAGATAGGAAGAAAGAATATACCGAAGGTGAGAGAAAAATGAAATGGGGACTTGAAAGGAATTTGGGAGATCTTTAGGCTAGTCATTTTCGGGGCTCTTTTGGTCTTTGTGAAATTAGAATTAGATTATAATATCAGAGTATGCCAGTATGGTACAAAAGATTCAAAAGATCGGAACTGTAAACTAGAATAACTGCATCGTATATAGAGAAAAGCATGTTTCTTTGGAACGTTTTTCTTCAAAATTCCTGACATCTCGTTTTGTTTTGTTTTTCTTTTTTTTCAATCGTTTTCGCCAATTATTCTTAACTGATTTGATTGGATTTGGCATTAGTAGTCTTCTCTTTTTCAGTCTAGCGATTTGATCTTTAATCTTTGTTTTTAGTCTCACGATTTGATCATTAGTCTAAAATTACGTAAATGAATTTACGGCCAAGTTCGATGCAATTGGATGACCGAATATGTGACGCATTTTGGGTCTCAAAATTGACAGTCGTGGATAATATGAATTTGCCATAATCACTGTAGAACTTGGTTGTGTTGACACAGCTAGAAAATTGACAGGATGAAGAACGTTGAAAATGACCAAAAAAAGAGTATTGCAAGAGTTTAGTTAAAGATATGGTAGTACAGACGTTATCCCGAAAAGCACCCTTTGCCATCTAACAAGTTGCTCTGGAAGCTAGAAACCCACCCAACCCAGCCTCCGTAATAGTACACAAAACAACTGCAAAATTACTATAATTTTCTACAGAATGCCTATGAAATGAAGATTATAGCTCTAGTGGACTTGAGATGACAAAATGCCTACTCACACTTAATGGATCGATATATGTGACGGACAAAGAGCAAAGCTGCACGGAATCCAACAGTTCCAAGCATTAAGAAGAAACCATAGCATATACAGGCCATGTATCCAAAGAAAAACGAGGTCTGCATGAAACCAGACATGTCGGAGCGTGCATAGTAGTAATACAGACAATAGGCATAGATAAATAAGCCAGTTGAACCACCACATAGGAATGATCTGCAAGTAAAACAAGAACACGTTAAACTCGAAGCCTCAAAACTCCATGTGATCAATTTTGAAAATGCAAATCCCAAAAATGAAAAGGGTCAAAATTATATAATAATCAATAAATCGATGCATAAAGCAACAAAGCCTGTCCTATCAAATGAAGAATGGCGGCATTAAGGTCCAGATATATCAAAACACGCATAAAACCATGAAAGCAAGCATAAGTATCTATGCTTGTTCATGATCACGAGTCAGACATTTTACAAACCATCAATAAGGAATTATCCAATTCAGTTATGATGTCCCAAAGTTTGAAGTGACTGGTCCAAAACATTACTACAAATATATTTGACATGGGAAGTTCATGCATTCTGATGTATCATCACAACTCCTTTTCATCAAAAATCTTGGCATATGTTAATAAAGATGATGACGACAAGAACCAAGCCTTAAGCCTTATCTCACTAAGTAGCATCTAGAAGAACATCTACAGAACTTAATTAAGCTTACACTAGTAAGTGTTTGCTACTTTGGTTAAGCTTATGAAAGTGGCATATGATCTCCATTAGCTCTTTTTGACATATTTCAGTAAGTTCCAAGGTAAGCTTTTATCAAAATAAGCTCATATTATAGAGCTCTTATTTATTAAGCTTAAGTTGTTAGCCCAAACCCACCATTAATTCAATATAGATCATCATATATCAGTTATATCATACAAGATCCAGCTAACAACAGAATTAGTTGGTATCTCATATTCACTACCTAACCAAAACAAATATAAACACCAAGCCATAAGAAACATGAAAGAAATTTGCAATAAATGGCGATTTCATACCTCCACCACCACTCATGATCCTCAGCAGCAAGCTGGAAGTATGTCAATGCCACAGTAATGAAAGCAGTAACAATCAAGAGAATGATGAAGACAATGAACAGGATGCTGTAGATGGTGTAAATTCTGTGACCCCATACACTGGCAAATATATAGTAAAGTTCAATGTAAATAGCGCTGAAAGGCAAAAATCCTGCCATTGCCATCTGAGGAACTGTTCCACGATACCACGGCAGAGGCGGAATCTCCCTTGGATATTTAGTCGTACGGCAGGGAGCTTGAAATTCAGCCTTGCTATTCTTCCCAGCAATCCCACCTAATACAAGTAAAGGAGACGTAACAAGTGTCCATATGAGAACTATGACCACAATTGTGCCAAATGGGAGTGCAGCAGTTGCATTATAAGCAATTGCAACAGTGTTCAGAAAACAGAACGTCAGAAACAGAGGTCCACAGAAAAGGCATCCAGTCAATAGCAGATTCCTAACCTGTCATAACAAAAATGACAAGAATACAAACACTAAGATCAGAAAACAAAAGCAACTTCAGCAGATACCAAACCAAATTGCAAATAAAATTCACATGTGAATACCCAGTTTGTTCCTTCCAGTTGACAATAGAACGAAGTTGCAGTATAGCCAGCAATTCCAGAAGTGAGTGCATATATGACAACAAGTGCAGTAAACAGAGCCCCTCGGTTGTAGGGATAAAACACACCGACAAGTGCTAATATGAAAATGAACACCGTTCTGCATACCGTTCATAAATACAGCTTATTGAGATGAATCAATCAACAAAAACATCACAATTTAAGGGGCTGTTTGGTTCAAAAAATTGTTTTATATTATCTTTTTCTTTTCACTGTTAATTACAAAAATGTCACCTCATTTTTATCTTATTTTCCGTTTTCAAATATTTGTACAGAAAACAGTAAAACCAGAAAATGAAAATAAAAATTACATTTCTCAAACCAAACACTCCCTAATTTTCCAGAATCAATCTTCTACAAGAGATATAAACGGGCCAGACAAAACTTACAGAGTAAACAGCTGGCTACCAGATCCAAGGGCAGCTGCAAATAAAGACTTGAACTTGGGAAACCTAAACACATCCCCATGTATATATTTCCAACCAGTCTCTTCCTGATCATCAGCCGATTCCTCGTCATGTGCATACCTATTCACAATTCAAACAAAAGCAACACCCATAATTCAGTTCAGCCAAAAAACAAAACACTATCTTCATCAAAGACTCAAGGTTTCAAATTGCGATTCACAACCGCAATTGTGATCACATTGACAACAAGTGCCCACAATTTCGGGCAATTTCAACACAATCTCGCGACCGTAATTTAAAACCTCGGTCAAATCCAATCGAAACACAGCAAACAACCACTACTTACTTGACAAAATCGTTCTTAAGCACCCGCATCAAAATGGTGGCGAGAAAACCGGTCAAGAGCAACACGGTAACACACGAATTAATAATCGAAAACCAATGAATTTCCAAATGATGCGGCAACGACGAGGACTGCGAATACTTATCCATCCGCTTCTCAAACGGAGTATTAGTCTCCTTCCACTTAACAGTATAAAAGAACTCCACATCAACCTCACCATCCTCCGTAACATCCACAAGCGCACTCGGATCCGTCCTAACATTAATCTCAATAACCCTATCTTTGTTATAAAACACATCAAAATGAATGTGCTTGTAAAGATAATACCTATAATCACTAGGGTCCTTTCCTTCCTTATCAACTTTCCCTATAAACCCCCAAATCGGCAAATCATCATAGTACATCTGAAAGTAGTAGTCCTTACGAACCGCGGATCTGAAACGCGAAACTTCTTCCTTGGTGAGTTTCTTCTTACAAACCGGAATAGATTCTTTGTCGCGTTGAAATTCGAGTTCGTATGGCGCGCTAACCAAACGGTCCCCATTCAAAACCTCACCTAACGCTTCCTTCTTCTCTTTCAAATGATCTGGTGATGTAATTAAATAAGTTAAATCAAAAATTAAGAAAAATTATTAAAAAAAAAAAAACGAAATGAATGAAACGACGTCGTTACCTGGTAAACAAAAAGGTAGATCGAAGTAACGGTAGGTTTCGCTGCAGATAAGAGAGGAGAAGAGAGAGTTAGGGAATGAAGAGAGGGAGAGAGAGAGAATGGAGAGAGGGAGAGAGAGAGAATGGAGAGAGAAGTGAAGGAAGATACCTAGGGTTGTGGAAGGGGCCAACCTTATTGGCGTAGAGAGGAACGGAGTCGCCGTCTTTGTAACGGTGATCTGAGGAGTCAGATCTGACGGTGGAGAGAGAGGTGAAGGTGATGAGCGAGAAGACGAAGAAGAAGAGATTCATCGGTGAGAGCTTCGAATGAATCTTCGAGCTCTTCAGAGAGAGAGAGAGAGAGAGAGATGAAGGAGAAGAAGACGTTGTGTGAGTGTTAATAAACGGAAGGAAAGAAGAAAGGAGAACGAAGAAAGGAGAAGAGGGTGAGTGAAGTGACGTCGACTCACCGCCTCACTGTAATGTTTGATGTTTTACCTTACACTATTTTTTCCCCTTTTTTCTTCTTTTTATTTATTCATTTTTTATAATTCTTTTTTTAAGGCAAGACAACCTCAGGTATTTTTAAGGTTAAACCAAATATGGACGAAACATTTTGTCAAAACAATTTTAATTACTAAATAAGAGTTGTTAATAATTATTAAAAATGCATAAATTACACATTTTTAACATGTTTTTTTATATTTTAATTATTATTTTTAATTATTTTAAATTACAGAGGTATAGCATATGATTATTAAATCAAAAGTAAGAAAAAATTAAAATTTATGCAATTTTTATTTTTAATAAATTTCAGTGAAGAACTGTCAACATTTTTTTTATAATTATCACTTTTAATTTAATATTTTTATAATTATTTAAAAGAAGTTATTATTTTATTTATATTATTGGGGTAAGTTGCTGCTTTAACTGATAGCATGTTAGTGGCACAGCAACAGAAATTTTTTGCGCGTTTTTGGAGCTTGCTTGCAAATTATATACTATTCTATTTTCTCTTGCTTCCCAATTACTCATTATCGGTGAGAGTATGATTTAATTAGTTTAATTTGTTAAGCTATGACTCAATCAATACTATTTTTTTTCTAAAGGCATAAATATTTTATTTGAATTAAAAATTTGATTCTAATCAAAATTCATATATGATTTTTAATTTAATACCTTACATTTAAGCAAATTAAATTTGAAAATCACCAAACTTATAAGTAATTAGTAAAAGAATTTCAAACACAAGATTCTGAATCTTCTGATAATTGTCTTATTCGATTTGAACTATATTATTTTTAATAAAAAATATTTTTATATTTATGTAGTTTTATATTAACATTAAAATTACAATATGTTCCTCTTTTTTTTTAACAGCCAAAGTATCGGTGTCGGTGTCGACGTGTTAGCACGTGATTGGTTATGGAAATTTGAGAGAGTGTGACGTGGAAATCGTAGTCAACTCTTCTGGGCACGACCATAACGTGCTTTCAGCCCAGATCTGATTTTGGATCCGCGTTGTGGCGAAGACACGTGTAACGTAAAACTCCATATGTAGTAGGAACACGATAAAATAACGGCTTTTTACTGCGTCTCCAACTTTACATGTTAAAATGAATTAATATAGTCTTACTCATCACAATTTTAAGTTCATATTTAGCGTTCATCAAAGTGTTTTGCTTAGTCTAGAAAGAGTTAGTTAAATGCTTTTTCTATAACATTTCCAATTATATTTATATTGAATCCATAATTATTTTTTAAAACTTGAAAATGGTTTGTAATTTAAATATTTTTTACATTATTTTAACATAATAAAAGTTATAAACTTTGTAATAAAAATAAACAAATCAAAAAAATTTAAACAAATCACCATTAGACATATTAGGATGTAGATAATATATGTATACATTTTTTAAGTAAATTAAAAGTTTCTTTTTATTATAGTTTTAAATATTAGGTCTCACCTTTTATAGACTTTAAATTATTTCTTGAGATTGATGCTAAGAGAAACTTATATTTGAGATTGTAATTTTTTTATTTATTTAAAAAATAAATTAATACATCACGTTAAATATTTTTAATTATTATAAATAATAAACTAAATAGTTTTGTGATTTTGTAAAATAAGTATTTTAATTTTAATATAATTAAAAAAATTGACCCATTATTGAACTAATAGTTGTTAATTAATGTAGTATATTCAATAATAAATTAATATATGTTATAAAAATAAATTAACATAAAGGATCTTATTATACACTGTATAAAATAATAACTTTTATAATAAGTAGTTAAATAATAATAATTTATAAATACATCTTGTGAACCTTGATTGATTAGTTTACAATAAAAATATTTTAAAACGTGAAAAAAAGGATTGTGGCTTAGGAGTTAATTTAGATAATTTGTGTGCGGTCCTCTCCCTTAACTCTTTGACTTACGATTTTATTCATTGAGTTGACTGTAAATCCCAAAAAGCTATGTACTAATACAATTACGGGCAAAAATTTGGGTAAATTCCATATTTGATTGAGAAATTTAATTTTAGAAACAGTGTTACTATTCCCAAAGTGAATGAAATTTATGTATACAGAAAGGATTTGGTACCTTTTGGTAATTGTCATTTGTTGTTAAAATTAAAATCAAAGCCAGATGAAAATACATTGAAGATATTAAAATATTTCTAATAGAAATGACCCTTAAAAAGTGTGGAACCCTTCATGATCCTAAAAGATAATATGAAGTTCCAACTAGTGATAATTTGCTGTCTCTCTTCTATTTCATAAACCATTATTATGCTAAAACAAATTTTCCTAGGTTACAAGGTTTAGAAAAAAAAAAAAAAAAACATGTTATGTTATGGTAAAAAAACTTATACTAAGGGAAACATATATTAGTCTTCTATTTGATATAACATTGTTATATTGTTCTTCTTGTAAACCATGTTGAATTGAAAAATTAAAATTCTCCCAAATTCAAGTAAACCATATATGACAAAGTCGCCACCAACCCCATGAGAGTTATTCATGAGATTTAGATCCAAATTGTCAATTATTATGAACAATTGTCTCTAAAAGGGGCAAGCACATGCACATCTACCTTTTCCCTAGCAATACGCAAGCCAATGAATTTAACATTCGTTGTTCGAGTGACTTTGATCCTTATAGCAAGGATTTGTGCTAATCCTTCATGTGTTGCAATCAAATTAATTTGGAAAGAAAAAAACAATATTTTAGATTGATATGATAATTTGTGATTAAATAATAGTATGTTAATATTGCATTCTGATTTTGTCATACATCTTATTTATTAAAATATGCAATAAAAATGAATCAATTTGTGAAGTTAATGCCATTTCTTTACACCAAACAATATACTAGGAATTGGAGAGAAGAGCGCTGAAAGTTTTTTATTTATTGTTTGTCCTTGTTTATAAGCTCAACTTTATCTATTTTAAAGTTTATAAAAAATGACTAAACAAAATTTAGAGTCAACAGTTCTATGCTTTAAAAATAAATCTATCATAAAACTTAGTATAAAACATTAATTTATGCAAATATTTATATTTTTATTTATAGTTTAAATTATTTTTTAATCAAGGACAAAATATATTTTTGGCCAAATACCTCATAAGAATCTATTTTTTTTCTATTTTCTTCCTACTCGTTATTTTTTATAAATAAAATTATTATTACACTTTTAAATAAATAATTTCACTTATAGAATTCTATAAAGTAAAATTAAAATATCTACTAACGGAAGTTGATCCGAGTAGCAAGTGACTTGATATTATTTAAGTAAAGTCTCAAGTTTGAGTTTGTATATATGCAAAAAAATCTTCAATAATAAACTCACTCACAATATCTAAGTGTGCGATCTAGGTCGAATTTAGATTAAACTAGATAAAAAATTATTTAAAAAAAATCTTTGTAAGCATTATCTCATTAATATAGTTGTGTTTTCATAAAAAATATTCAACTTCAAGTTTTGTTATAACCTTTACATATACGAATGTTACATGTACATACCTAAAAATAATTAAAATTAATAACACACGAAAATATCATAGATAAGAATTATATTTTATCATTAATGTTTTAAAATAATTAATATCATACTCAATATTAGTATATCGTTTTTAATAAAATACAATGCATGTGAGCTTATAATCTTATTTTTAATTACTCCATAAAAAAATCAATATTTATTCATTTCATTTTACTGAGAATTAAGAATGTCGTGATATAATTAATATGTTTTTATCATTTTCATGTTAATTTTGTTATTTATATATAATCTTAGTTGTGCTCGTTACCATTCATCTTGATGATAAACAATATTGATCTAGATAGTTTCACATTGTCCACCACCCATGACACGAGGTAACTATGCTTTATAATATTTTAATTACTTTTCATTATTTTGTATATATAAATATTAATTCTATGATTAATTTTACTTAACTTATTTAATGATAACTCATTGTGAGATTAATTTTACTATTCTATGATTAATTCTATTTTCTTAAACTTTATTTAGGAGTTAGCTTTTTCTTAAAAAAGAAGGAGAACACCTGTATTATGATTATTCTTGTTTAAAAATTTTTAAATGGAATTTTTTTTTTATAAACTCTTCAAAACTCTAATCCCATTTTTTTATGTTGTTTTAATTTGAGGAGTTTTGAGTTAACATTATTTTCTTTTTACATTCTTTTACCATTTAAATATTTCTTTTTCTTATTGTATACTTAATTATATGAAACATCAATGAATGTGACTCATTTAATAGTTTGTCTACATACCCATGTTAATTGTGGATATTTAATTATCTGTATTTGATTTCATCCAAATTGATGCGATGAAAATTTTGATAGATAAGTAATCAATCATTTTTTTAATAAAAAAAAATAAAAAAAATAAAAAAAATAAGATAACAAAATGTATCTAATTTGTTAAATTTTTATATATTAAATATAAAATAAAATAATAATCACCCTACTTGTATCTTATTATATTCTTATCAATTTTTTATATTTTATCGTATTATATATACTGAATAAGCTTTTACACGTGTTGAAGGGCTAAAAATGATGTTGGAAACTTTAAGAATCTTATCTAACGTCCAACATTTATTTGCAACGGTAACAATGGAAAGTGGCAATAAAAAAAGACGTCTATTTGGCCAAAAGTCGAAAGACAACGAAACTTGAAATGAAATCCTTTTGCTATTTTTCATTAATTACTGTAAATTATAACTCTTAAACTTTTAATTAATAATAAGATCAGATTAGTCATATTTTTATTGAAGTATTTATTTATCTGGATTAAAGAAAAAACTGTATTTATATTTAAATTTTATATTATTATTAAAATTCAAAATATAAACAAATATAATATTAATACCAATTTAATTTATTATATTGTTTATTAAAAAATATTCAGAAAGTGCTTTAATTTAAAATTATTATTGTTTCAAAATATTTAATGATGTTAAACAAATAGTTGGTTTGATGAAACAAATTTAATTTATAGCCAATTTTAACGTTCTATTTTAATTCATAAATCATAAAATGGTCAAATATAAATTATTATTTTTATTTATTAAAGAGTGAGAAATTAGAAAAACATTAACAGTGAATAAAAAGATAAGATCATGTGAATTTGCTTGTAATTATAATATATTTTTAATTGAATATAAGACCCATTTAATCACATATCTGAAGAGACATGTTATTAACATATTAGATAATTTTTTTCTAACATTCTCCTAGAAAAATTATTAAAGAATATACAATTTATGTATATATATTTTTTTCTCATTTATAATTTAATATTTTTTTTAATTTTAATACATTTAAATTAATAATTATAAGTGTGTTAAGATGAGTATATTAGAGAATATATTTCTAATACTCTTTTATCACAACATTATTTTTTAATAAACAATTATTTCTATGAAAAGAGAAAATTAATTTGTACATGATAAACTAATTGAAGCATGTTTTAATGGCTTAAAAGTGTTTTTACCTTTCTATTTTACCAATTGATAAATTCTTTGAAAAACAAATGAAAAAAAGTATACATCAAAGATTTTTCATTTTATAAAATACTTTAATTTAAATAAAATTGAGATGTATATTATTTTCAACGAGTATTACTATATTTCTGAAAATGTTTGACCTTTTAAGTTATTATAGTCAAACTTTGATATTGAAGTAATTAAAAATATTTAATTAAGTAATCAATTTAATTATACTTATAATCATTTTAATTAGTGTGTGATTTTAGTGTCTCCAGAAAAGTTTAATATATTTCTCCTTTTTATGACTGCTGCAATTAAATCTCTTTATCACATTCCATTTAATAAAATATATTCTTAAATTTTACGTTTTAAAATATCTTTTACCCAAGACATATAAATTAAATTTTACGTTTTAAAATCAAATTTTTACAAATTTCTCACTCAAACTTTTAAAATTCTTTTATATATTAAATTCATCCTAACCATTTGAATAAAAATATTAAGAGTTTTACACAGGAAAATATATACAAGAGGACTATATTGTTATTTATATTAATTTTAAAAATTGATAAAAATTATTATGCCTAATGTCTAAATTAAAACAAATTAAAAAGGTAATCAAATCTTAAAAAATATATGTTTTAACATCATCTGTAGTGTGTACCCTTCTTTTAGAAAAGAAATTGTCATTCTAGTTTCAAACCTTGCTCCAAATATTCCTTTTTTTTTTTGTTTATAATTATACCAAGTGTATGTTTACAAAAAATTACTTTAAAATAATTTGAACTAAACAGATGAATGTTATGAACATACTTGACTAAATTTGATTAAAAATTGTAAAAACATGAGAGAGAATGATTAAATTAAGAATGTCAATCATTAAATTAATTGTGAGGTTCACATGATTTTTAATAAAATTTAGTCTATAATTAAGATTATACTAAAAAAACTATATTACTAACATTTTTCAACATATAAATTGAAAAAGAAAATATTAATTGATTGTATCAACCTAATGGCCAGTAACATGATTTTTGCAGAGCCCATCTTAATAGACATAACATATACTATTCAACAGACCAAGCACATAAAATAACTGAGTATTAAAAGAATCAAAATAGATAATTAATCTAAGGGGAGATAAAATTAAAATATTTAAGAACTTTTTCAACATTGTGACTGGAAAATAATAATTAAAAGGAGAAAAAAAAAGTAAAAGTTGATAATCAACCTTCGTCAATGCAATAAGCTGCTTTTGGTTGTTCTGCCTCCATGACTTTGTCTCTTCACCACACTACAAATCCAACCCCCCCTTTAAAGTATGAAATAGGTAAAACAAGAGAGATGAAGAATAAAAATTAAATACTTATTTATAGTAAAATAAAAATTAAATATTTATAATCCCAAACAACACACTACTTTATTGCAGTAAAGCTATCAAATATGAATATGCAATAAAATTAATAGTTATATAGTTTATTGTAATATGTTTTTATTTAACAATAATTATATAATATTAGTCAATAATATGAGTAAATTAAAATCTCAACCATAATATTAAAATCCAACCATTATACTTACAACCGTAGAGAGTGACCCCATTTATTACAAAGACAAATCATCATAGCTTTTTAAGTATAAAACATATTAACGTTTTTTTGTTTATTTCATTTTGAAAGTTATATCAATGCCTAATCAGTAATCAAACTTTGGTAAGTATATTTAAGATGTTCATTTAACCTAATAATAAGATAAGAAAATAATAAAATATAAAAATTAGAGAATAAATAATAATATATAAGATAAGAGAAAATTATTTTTTCTGGTGTATATTAAAATAAGAAATTAAGTATATTATACTGTCCTATTCTATATACTCTTAAACTAAGTTCTCACAGAACCAAATTTACCCATGAAATAAGGATAGTATAAGTTTGTAAGATAACATTGTTATATTTTATTGATTAAATAAAAATAAGAATAAAATAAGATATGAACTTTTTTTATAATATTATTTTATAAAATGTGACAAATCTTGTTGGCATGTTAATATTAAATGATTTTTTAATCTTGTAACACACATTAAAAAACTAATAATAAATTTTTAAATAAAAATATTTTTATTTAAAAATTATCAAATGACTATTGTATACTTTTTATGATAATTTAAAATATTTAATATATTTTTTAACATACACTTAACCCATATTAGAAAAGTCAAATATTAAACTGTAAGTAATGAGTATAAAAACAATAAATATAATAAAAATACTTGGAAAGTGACAATGTTCAGTGTAATATTAATGGAAAAATTAAGTAATTTAATCAGTAGACCACAAATTTAAACGAATTTGACTTAAAAGGTTGGGAATGTTCTTATCACACAATTTGATTTGTCAAAAAAGGAACAAAGTTAGACTTTTTTTTATGTATATATTTTAAAAAGATAATCAATGCTAAAAAAAAAGGAAAAAAAGTCATTATTTTGGTCTAGATTTTTTTTAATCTAATTATCACCTCAATCTTTAAGATTAATCTAAACAAACAATGAAAAAAGAAAAGCAATAAAATAATTACCATAACGCACAATAAAGAAAAACTTTAATACATATTAAATATAAAACAACACAGGAAATTAAAAGTGATTACCAAAATCATAACAATGACATGTTAAGTATGGTATGAAATATAAATATATATTAGCAGTAGTAGGACACGACAGGTATAGTGTAAGCATCAAAGCCAAATTCAAATGCGGCTTTTGCATGCAAGATTTGGGGTTAAGAACTTAAATTAACACCATAAAAGTTAAAATGAATTAAAATAAGAAAAATGTATAAATATAAATATAAATATAAATATAAATATAATATTGCAGAAAGAACACAAATACCCATAGCTTTGGTCCACCACCAACACCACCATTCACCACCTCAATTCTTCAGCGAAGAGGGAAGGGACAAGAGAAGAAGAGAGCGTAACCCGCTAAACCCTTTACACGCAAAACAACAAACAAAATAGCCACTGCTACAGGTGCTTTTTCTTTGCTTCTGTATTTTTATTTATTTATATATTTATTTTATCTTAATTATTTTTTTTTTCAAATTTTCATTCTTTTGCCATTTTTATGGGACCCCATTTTCTCTTCTTGTTTCATCAGAACCTGGAAAATCGTTCTGGAACGTAAATGCCAGATCTTGATGGCAATTGGGTTTTTCCTCTGAAAAATCCCCATTTGCAAAAACCTTGCATTTTTTAATTTTTGGTGAAAATTTGTGGTACCCTTTTCGTTGATTGGTTCTGGGTGTTTGAGGTTTTCTGCAGTAGTCTTGGATCGGTGATTGGGAAAATCTCGAGAAGCTTTGGCCTGCACCTCGTTTTTGTGTTGTTCTTGGAACCATCCCCTAAGTTTCGTTGTTTTCAAGGAACAAAAAAAGTTGGCAAATTTCTTGGCTTTGGTTGCTGAAGATTTTTTGTTCAGAAAGAAACAAGCGTTTACGCTTCTGGGTTTGTTTCAGTTTTCTGTTTTATTCGGGTTAAATACAAAGGAGGCATAATGCCACCACTTGGTTATGCTTGATACGAGGTGCGTAAGCTTTTTGATTTCTCTCTAACATGGTCAAAATTTCTTTTCTGTTTTGTGTGTATATCTATTAGGAAATAATGGTTGCCATTGGAATGTGCATTGTCTCTTTTTGTTTTTTAGGTCTTTATTTGGAACGAAAGCTATTTTGTTTTTTCTGAAACCTGTTATGTGTTTTTGTGTACTGGGTTGAGTTTAGGTTGGTAGGGGTTTGAAAATGGCAGACACAAATTCAGTTGAGGTGATTTTGGAATTTCTGAGGAGGAATCGGTTCACACGAGCCGAGGCAGCTTTGCGCAGTGAGCTCAGTAACTGTTCTGATGTGAATGGGTTCCTTCAGAAGCTCACGTTGGAAGAAAAGGACTTGTGTGGTATGCTGCAGAAGGATAAGGGGAAGCCTGTGGTAGGGAATCAAGGATTGGATTGTCGTGACAGTGTTGAAGTTTCTAAAGAACTGATTGTGAAGGAAATAGAGTGTGGGAATGGTAGAAATGCTGCTGAAGGCAAATGTAAAACTGCTGCTCCTACTGTGGAAAGGAATAAACCTGATGAAATGGTTGGGACAAGTGATAAAAACTTCACTTTTTCCAAGAGTTCGGGGGACAATGTTCTTGATTTATACTCATGGAAGTTGAATCTCAGCAATGGTCCCGTGGAGTCTTACCAAAACGACGGTGGAAGTAGGCCTAATAATACTTCGAATGCCCCGATATCACAACAATCAAAATATCAAACAGGTGAAGGTCTTGATGCAGCAAACATTAACGCAAAATCTAAGGAGGAAAATAAGGTGTCTGTTGAAAAAACATCCTTGTGGCTTGGAAGTGATGGAAAAGTGTCTACGGAACCAAAGTATGACCTTATGCAAAACAAAGAACCTTGGGAACTTGACCGACAGCTTAAGTTTAAAAGTTCATCTCTGAAAGAGAACTTGACGGATAATGTTTTGTCAAGAACTGATGAGAATGTGAATTCATCTTCTGATCTATGGAAAGATTGTTCTGTCAAGACTGTTTTCCCTTTCTCGAAGGGGGATATGTCTACAAGTTATAATAACAGTTCAACTTATTCAGACAAAAAAGAGGAAAAGAGAAGGGCTGAAATCAGTGATGATAGGGCATCAATAAAAGAACAAGTGGATGAAGTGGGAAGAGCTCTTTACTTAGGGAAGTTGCAAGGCAGTTCTGGCAGCTTAAGTTTTCCTCTTGGACCGGAGAATCAAAAGGAAGAGTTTCCTAGGCTTCCTCCTGTAAAAATCAAGTCAGAAGATAAATTGACTCTTAATTGGGGGGAGAAGTTTGAGTGTGATGGACTGGCTGCGAAACTTGCTGGCGTTGACAACACATTACTTATTGGGTCATATCTAGATGTTCCTATTGGACAAGAAATTAAAACTACAGGTTAGTTTTTTACACATATTATTAAATTATTGAAGTGGATGCATATGCTCTCAAATGCTCTTGGCATTTTAATTAGATGTTTACTCTTTGAGCTCAAATTAGCTCTATCATTTGCTAGTTTGTTATGATGATAGTTTTGTGTGCTAAGTGGGACTTGTGTATCTTCTTTTTTACATAAGGTGTTTCAAATATTGATACATTAATTTGGCTTCTTTCTGAATATTTTTCTTAATTCTTATCTGTTTCAACTAGGAAGAATTTCCCTTTGCGTTAATTGATCATGAAAAGTAAGGCTACTAATAAAGTCAATCCTATTATTTGACCTGTTACCCACTAGAACTAACACCAGCAATTTGTGCATATTCAAAGGCTTCTATTGCTATGATATATTTATTTGTGATTTTTGTATTGATTGTGCATAGCCACATACTTTGTTCCAAAGACTTTTGACATTGACTTTTTCATGAACGTTTCAGGAATGAGGAAGGCTATTGGGGGCAGTTGGCTTTCTGTAAGTCAAGGGATTTCAGAGGATACATCTGATCTTGTATCAGGTTTTGCAACAGTCGGGGATGGGTTGAGTGAATCTGTTGATTATCCTAATGAATATTGGGACTCTGATGAATATGACGACGAGGATGATGTTGGGTACATGAGACAACCTATTGAGGATGAGGCCTGGTTTTTGGCACATGAAATTGATTACCCTAGTGACAACGAGAAGGGGACTGGGCATGGAAGTGTTCCAGATCCTCAGGAAAGAGGTCCAGCCAAAGATGAAGATGATGATCAATCTTTTGCTGAGGAGGATTCTTACTTCTCTGGTGAGCAATATCTTCAAGCAAAGAATGTTGAGCCAGTCACAGGTTCAGATGATCATATTGGTCTAACGATTAAGGAAATGTATGGAAGAACTAATGGTAATGATTTAATGGCTCAATATGATGGACAATTGATGGATGTTGAAGAACTGAATCTAATGCATATGGAATCTGTCAGACCGGGCTTTGTCACTCAGAAAAATGATCTCATCTTGCTCGGAGATGGGAAGGTTCTCAATCATAGTGGAAGGTCACGAATAGAGGACATGGAAGATGATCAGCATGGTTCAGTTAGATCAATTGGGGTGGGGATCAACAGTGATGCTGCTGATATTGGCAGTGAAGTACATGGAAGTTTGGTTGGTGGTAGTAGTGAGGGGGATTTAGAATATTACCGAGATCATGATACTACGCTTGGTGGCTCCAAACAATCTCATCATGATTTGGATAAGAATTCTATTAACAAGTCCTTCAAAAATAATAAGAAAAATGACAGGATTGAGTCAAATAAATATGTCATTGACAGTAATAGAGATGCATGCTCACAGGTAAAAACACACACTGATGCAAACTTCTCATTTCCTCAATCTTTTAGAGAGGGCCAGATGATTCAAGTTGGCTCCAGTAAGTCCCTATGGTCAAGTAATTGTAATGTAGATGAAACAGATGACTGTATTAATGCATTTGTGGGATCTGATGACATGCTTTCATCTTGGAGGCGGAAGAGTAGTGATTCTTCACCTGTTAAAAGTTGTAGGGATGAGAGTAATGCTATTGTGGTAAGATCCGCAAACTCTTCTCCAACTACAGTCTCAAATAATGGGTATACAGATAGAGAGCATGTTAAGATAGAAAAGGATGAAAAGGTTAGCATTGTAAGGGAAGATGATCTAGGTGCATCACTAGAGGATGAAGAGGCAGCTGCTGTGCAAGAGCAGGTAAGGCAAATAATGGCTCAGGAGGAGGAATTTGAAACCTTCAATCTAAAGATTGTGCACAGAAAAAACAGGCATGTCTTAGATATATCTATTTATTGATTTCATTAATTTGTAAAGTATTTGAGGAATTAGTCCTATAGCTTATTTTTTTAATATATATTACAGAAGAAATTTAAGATTATTGAAAATGCAGTAACTGCTTTGTGCATCCTTCCATTATATTACATATAATTTTTATATGTTAACAACTTTATCATTTTGTTTCACTGTATCTCTGATCACTTGTGCATTATATTAATTATTAATCTTTGGGTTGCATAACAGTCATCATTTTTAATCTTTAGACATTTTAACATTCATAATAGCAAACATAAACAAAATTTTGTGCAACTTTTGGTGCTGATAACAATAGAAAGTGAGATTACATCACCATGAAGGCTGATCTATGATTTCCTTTTTGAAATGTTCATCACTTATTACTGTTGTCATGAAATGAGCTCTGTCAAAACATCTGTGTATAATAATGTTTTCTTTGGGAATAATAACATACTTGATCATGTGATTGAGAATAATCCCATGCTTTGAACTAGTTGATAATTGTTTTAATTCTTTTATTTTTACATTTCTTGAAATGAAGAAGTAAATATACTTGAGACAGTATAACATACATGTCTTTGTTGTGATAATTCTATAAAAGATGTTGTTGAAATGATGAGATGAGATGAGATTCTTCCCCCTCCTTGTAGGTGAGTTATATGCTGATGTATAGTATATACTAAACTTTTTATGAATATTTGTGTTTTAATTTTTGGGCTATATTGGGAGTCCATGATGAGTTTGTCATTGTAGGTAATATTGTTATGTTGTAGAGTTAGTGTTCTTGTCATTGTTCTGTGTTCTTCCTCCTTTTGTCCTTGACATGCTCTCTGAACCCATGTTTTGTTACTCAGAACTGGCTTTGAAGAGGACAAGAATTTCCATGTTGTTTTAAATTCTGTAATAGCTGGGCGCTATCATGTCACTGAGTATCTGGGATCTGCTGCATTTAGCAAAGCTATACAAGCTCATGATCTGCACACTGGCATGGATGTTTGTGTTAAAATTATAAAGAACAACAAGGATTTCTTTGACCAAAGCCTTGATGAGATCAAGCTTCTCAAGTATGTCAATAAGCATGATCCTGCAGACAAGTATCACATTCTGAGACTATATGATTACTTCTATTATAGAGTAAGTGATTCTGGACGTGCTATTGATCTATTTATTAACCATTATATTTTTCTTTTAAGTTTCAGTCAATAGTTGATTTAGGCATATTTGTTTATTTCTTGTTACTTATTTATTATATTATATTTTCCCCCCTTCTCTTACTAACATGTTTCTTTTCATCATCCCATTATCTTCAAATGATTCCCACTATGTACTAACGTATTGACATGTCTTCAATATTGGCTAGTCAAAGTTATGTGCTTCTAAAAGTAACAAGGGGATGTTACGAAAGTATCTTGATTTTGTTGTATTCATTTTGATTTTCATTTATAATATTTTAAGTAAATAGATATAGTTTATTTTGGATACTAATGGTATTTATTTATTGATTCTTCTTTGTTTTTTATGTGGTAGATAATGATGCCAAATTTATTGGTTTGTGTTTAATCTTAACAACTAAAGCCACTGAACTTAATGCTTGTAACCCTGGAAGGTTTCAATGTATTCCAGGATATGTTATAATTATAACTATTCACACTGGTGTCATATTTAAAATATTAAATTTCATCTGACTTTTTAAACTATAGTAAAAGTGATGTCGAGAAATATCTGTTAACTAGTGATCATCTGACTTTACTACTCTTTATTCCTTTCCGTTGTACTGCAGGAACATTTGTTAATAGTATGTGAACTACTTAAAGCCAACTTATATGAGTTTCATAAATTTAATCGAGAATCAGGGGGGGAAGTGTACTTCACGATGCCAAGATTGCAGGTTTGTGATGTGCAGTTTATACTGTGATCTTTAGTTTTCATCCTTTCTGCTATTTTACTAGTGTCATTATAAACTTTTCTCAACTTATCCTTGCAGTCAATTACCATTCAATGTTTGGAAGCACTTCAGTTTTTGCATAGCCTTGGACTAATACATTGTGACTTGAAGCCAGAGAATATATTGGTTAAAAGCTATAGCAGATGTGAGGTGAAGGTCATTGATCTTGGAAGTAGTTGTTTTGAGACGGATCACCTTTGCTCATATGTCCAGTCCAGGTCTTATCGTGCTCCTGAGGTTATCTTGGGGCTTCCATATGACAAGAAAATTGATATCTGGTCACTTGGATGCATCTTGGCAGAACTTTGTACTGGCAATGTAAGATCAATAGATGGTTGATTTCTTTATAGTATCATTGTTAGATAAACTTGATCAAGTATCTTTTAGATGTGAAAAGTGATTTGATACGTCATGTGCATTGACTTTTAACTTTTCCATTTAAGTTTTTCACTTTTTTATGTGACACTCAACTATGCATGATGTAGGTCCTCTTCCAAAATGACTCCCCCGCAACATTACTTGCTCGGGTGATTGGGATCATTGGCCCAATTGATCAAAGTTTGCTTGCTAAAGGACGGGATACTCATAAGTACTTCTCAAAAAATCATATGCTTTATGAACGGAATCAGGTACAGATTTTATTTCTAATTTTCTTAGTATATGAAATGGACTAACGAGCAATATGAAATCTTGATGTGTAGTTTGATTTCATTTGCTTGTCTTTAAAACTAGAGGTTCCTAAAATTTCTAAAATTTGAGCATTTTCATTCATTCATATTTATATCAGATATTTTTTATGGAAGACAGACATATTGGCTTGCTGCACTTTAACCACTCAATATTTTAGTTCTTATCTTGTTATTATGAAATTGCTACATTACCTCAGCATTTTACTTTCTTGAATTAATTTATAATAATAATATGCAGGAAAGCAACAGGTTAGAATACCTGATTCCGAAAAAGACATCTTTGAGGCATAGATTGCCAATGGGGGACCAAGGCTTCATTGATTTTGTAGCTCATTTGCTTGAGGTTAACCCGAAGAAACGGCCTTCTGCATCTGATGCCCTGAAGCACCCGTGGTTATCATACCCTTATGAACCAATATCATCTTGAAGTATTTGGAGATTTTTCTCTTGGTGATGTTGTCAATATTACCCTAACCTGGGTAAGATAAATTGTTAAAATGGAAGGGCACCACCATACATACTGCTTTTCATTATCTATTTTAGAGATGATATGGAAAGAGTTGTGCACTTTCACATTCCTGCATAATGCATTGAAAGGTGTTTAGTTTTGTGGGTGTATGTTTCCCTTCCCTCTCCAAATTGTATTCTAGTTAACCGTCGTCAAGGATGTAATTTTAGCATGAATGGTGTAATGTTATGCTGTTGATTTCTTTGCTTTGTTTGGTCAGTTGCAAAGGGAAAATCCTTGAAATCTTGGTTGTACATGATGTGGGATGATTCTTTTAGTCTTCATAGTAGTATTTTGTGAAGTAGCTTTTTATCAGATTTTGTATGGGGTTTGATACCACTCTTGGAAGTACCAGTTACAGCAAGGCTTGTGACTGTGTGAAACTCACTTAGCACGTGGCTTTGTGCAAAATTGCTCTCCTTTTTGGTTGGAAGCAACCAAATTGTAACTTGATGGTGTAGTGGAGCTTCATTTGGTAGTGTAGTATCAAATTGATTCAACAAAAGTGTGGTCTTTTGGATGGCACCTTTGGCATGTGGTTATCAAATATTTGGGCCTTTGTGCATCTAGAATTTATGAATTTGCTGTGTCTATTTCTTCTCTTATTCCATTATTGCACCCAGTTATCTAGTGGTCTTTATCAACGTTATTTTCCACGTAAATATTATTTACAATCATGGCTGTGATACCTTGGTGTGGAAAAGCAATAGTTACTTTCCATAATTTTGAAATATACTCAATTTTCTAATTAAAGAAGACTCCTGATATTTGCAATAACTACAAGGACAAAATTTAAATGCAGTACTATAGGTACTGGTGGTGCTATTTTGCAATTAGAATTATGTTAAAAAAGAATTAGTTACGAATAGATTGGAAATTCAAGGGTTGATTCTTGTGTTTGACTATTAAGAGTAAGTCATGATGTTGATGCTATGTTAAATAAAAATGTTTAACTAAAATTTTAGGTTTTTATTTAGCTTTAGCTTCGAAGTATTTTAATAGGAAAATGAGAAGCCAAATGTTGCCTTAGAAAAAATGATTTTATACATAGAATAGAATACATACTTAATCCGTTATTGAAAATATATATTTCAAAATAAAATATTAGTCTTATTCAAGGTTGAAGAATTAGTTGATAAAATATGAATAAGATATTCGGCTTAAAAGATTTGAATTGATTTATTCTATGTTTTAACAACTTATTAACATTTAAATGAGAGTTTTAAAATAAAAGCAACTATTTTCTTTTAAAATTTAATGAACACATATATAGTTACCTCGTCTTATGACATATTTGCCCTACCATGCTACTTTCTTCTTAACAGTGTAGATTAATTTTAAAATTAAACATAGTCTTTTTTACAAATAGCATATGGAATTTAAAATTTCGAAATATATTGAACATAATTCTAAAAATAAATTCCAAAACTAATAAAAAAGGGAATAGAAATAACAATTCGTTTGTTTTAACGGTAAAAAAAGTGGTAGTGGGCTAGCGTTGGTCCTGAACAGGGCCCAATTGACCCATGTAGAATCCAACACTCCTACTACACATTGCTTGCAGCATTTTGTTTTAGAACACAACCATAAGTGCTGACTAGAAAAAAAAAAAAAAGAACATTAGTTATTCTTTGCTCTTAGCCTTCCCATTTTTCAAAATGGAGGATAAACCGCCGCTGCCGGCCGAAAGACCGGTGGCGCCGCCTTCCACCGGCGAAACAAAACCTTCTTTGTTTCCTCTTTTTCCCCTAACAGACTCCTCCTCTCTTCAAACCTCCACCACTGCTTCGGCTCCTCAATGGCTCTCTAACTCCAGCTTCACCACCGATATCTCCGTCATAAACGACGCCGTCACCTCACAACTCAACCGCGAAGCCACTCAATCACCACTGCAAAACCATGACGAAGACGACGAAGAAAAGAATCGAGCTCAGGTGAAGCACCTTGCTTCTTCCTACGAGATTCTGGAATCTTCCGAATCCGATGGAGACGGAGGAGAGAGGGAGAAGAAGGAGAAGAGGAGGAGAAGGAAGAAGAAGCGGAAGCGCAATCGTTCCTCGGAGAGAGGAGGATTCGACGGTTTTGGTTCGAGGAAGTCGCGCGTTCGAGCTTGGGCTGATTCGGAGGCCAACGTTACCAAGGATTATTACTTCGATTCTCATGGAGATCGCGATAATCTGGCGTTTGGATGCATCTACAGGTATTTTTGGATTGAGTTGAATTTAATGATTGCTCATTTCAATTTGCAAGTATTTTTGTTAAGATTGTGAAGGGTTAATGTTTGTGAGTGTGTTAAATCGTGGAGATTGTGTGGTAAAAGTTTTGGTGCTGTTAGGGCTATTGATGCATTAATTTGGATTTAGGATCCTAATGAAGCGTTCTGCGAGCATTTTTTTTCTTTGTGATGGACAATATTTGGTTTTGTTGACGAAGTATACGGGTTTGAGATTTAGGGTTTAGGACATATGAACTATGATTTCTTGTGTATTTGGTTCTGTTGACTACACAGAGAGAAACTGGTTTTATAATATATGTTACCAATATTACTCTTATATCAGAACTTGTTGGCCACTAGTGACTTCTTAGTTTGCTTGGTATATATTCATTTACATCTGTGAAGAATTGATCTTTTCATGATTTTTAGCCAGTTTGGAAGTTTCTCCATGGGGACTAACGGGAGTTCGGGTAGAGGATCCGAGTTAATGTACCCATGAAAATAAAATAAAATTAGTTGTTAGAGTAGAGAAAGAAATGAGGTAGGCAATCTAAATTTCGTTGTTGTTCTCTTAAATTTCAGAAATGTAATGATGAAACTGATGTGACACAGTGACAGCAAAGGTAATTTAGTTCCAGCTGAACTTTGGCTTTTTATTCTCAGGTGTCCCTGTCCTTACAAAACGGTTATGGCCTTATGGGTTCTTGTTATTTTGTTTCATTAGTAATGAATGATGACAATTTTTATGAATACCATGCAGAATGGACATTGCCCGGTACAAACCTTACAATCCTATGAAACTGTCTGGGCTACATGTTAAAGGTTTGTATTGGTGGAATCGGAGTGGTTCACTTTGGGAAAGAGATGGTGATGTTGATGCATTGGATGGTAAAATGAAATCTGCTAGTCGTTACTGGTCTGGAAAGTATATGGCTTTGGAACGACATAAGAGCTTTAAGCGTATTCGTCTTATTGCTCCAAAATTGTCTAATGTCACTATGCAAGATGAATTCATACCTTTGTCAGATGCTGGGACATCTCATGAAGCTGTTGACAGTGATTCTGTCACTAAAACTTCAGCATTACTTGAAGAATCTTGGGAAGATGAAATGTTAAACAAAACAAGGGAGTTCAACAAACTAACAAGGGAACACCCCCATGATGAAAAAGTTTGGTTGGCTTTTGCAGAGTTCCAAGATAGGGTTGCAGGGATGCAACGGCAGAAAGGTGCTCGCTTGCAAACTCTTGAAAAGAAGATTAGCATTCTGGAGAAGGCAGTTGAGCTTAATCCAAATAATGAAGAACTATTGCTTTGTCTTTTGAAAGCTTATCAAATGAGAGACAGCTCAGATGTGCTACTTGGGAGATGGGAAAAGATACTTTTGCAACACTCTGGAAGTTATAAGTTATGGATCGAATTCTTGCGCATTGTTCAGAGAAATTTCTCCAGATTTAAGGTTTCAGAGGTTAGGAAGATGTATGCACATGCAATTGAAGCTCTATCTGCTTCATGCAGCAAGCACTCTAGGCAGGTTCTCAATTTTTTATGCTTTATCCTCTTTATTTTGTGCTCAAGAACGAATATTAGTCCATCTATTTTAAATGTATTATCTGGTTTGCACAGGTGATTTTATTTTCTAGAAAGGGAATATGATCAGATCCCCTAATTTGGATGCATGATAGTAGAATAGGGAGACAGAAAAGAGGGAGGGATGCTGTTCCTTGAGCAACCGTTTTTCATTCTTTCTTTTTTCTCCCTTCCCTCTTGAAGTGGTTGGAAGGAGATGGAATAAATAGGCTGATGATGAAATCTTATGTACTGTCATTTTTATGTAGGGGTGTATGAACAAACAAAGTTGAACCATCCTTTCATTTTTCTTACATTTTTGAGGTGAATAAATTAGTTACTTATATATGAGGTGTCATGAAGTTGATATTCTTGAGAATTTAACAACTTCCCATCATTTGCATGACTGTTTTCACTTATTAATTTCACATGTCATGTGAATATTTTGGAAGATCCGGGAACTGTTTTTAAAAAAGAAGAAAATTTGTTTTTAGCAGGTTCTTCAAGCTGCTGATCCTTCTTCAACGGATCCTCTACTTGTTCAGCTAGAACTTGGTCTTGTGGATATATTTCTTAGTCTTTGCAGATTTGAATGGCAGGCTGGTTATCGAGAATTGGCCACTGCTTTATTTCAGGCTGAAATTGAGTTTAGTTTGTTTTGTCCTCCTTTGCTGCTCACAGAACAGAGTAAGCATAGACTGTTTGAGCATTTTTGGAATAGTGATGGTGCTAGAATTGGAGAAGAAGGGGCTCTTGGTTGGTCCACATGGTTGGAGAAAGAGGAGGAAACTAGGCAACAAGTTATGAAAGAGGAGCTCTCACAGGAAAATGAAGGTGGTGGTTGGACTGGTTGGTCAGAACCATTGTCTAAAGATAAAGAGAGTGTTGCCAATGTTGAAAGTGAAATCAACAATGATTTGGTTATGGAAGATAATCAAGATGATGATGATACTGAAGATGTTGAGCCAGAAGTTGATACTGATAATTTACTGAAGATGCTAGGAGTTGATATCAGTGCTGGGGATGGTGCTGAGGTTAATGAAGCTTCGACTTGGATCAAATGGGCAGAAGAAGAGTCTTCTAGAGATTGTTATCAGTGGATGCCAGTTCGTAGGGAATCAGGTAGGAGTTTCTCTCTATGCATTCACAACTATGCTTCTGTCTGAATGGATTTGTGTGTGTGTGTATGATAAGAACCTTATGAGAACTACACTACAAAAGCTAGCCATTATAGTTAGAGAGCCCAAGACCTTATAAACCCGACACTAAATCCCATACTTCTACTGTTGAGACTCTTGTCCCATACCTAATTGGATCCTGTGTAATGGGCTTTTCTTGAATTTTGCTGTATTGCTTTCAAATGCAATACAATTTCATTGCAAACAAGCTGCTTATACAAGTGTACTGATTAACCATAAACAGATATGTCATCTGCTGCTAGTGAAGCACACAAAACAGATGAGGATGAGCAGCTTTTGAGAGTTGTATTGTATGAAGATGTGAATGAATACATGTTCTCCCTGAGCACGATGGAGGCTCGACTATCTTTGGTGTCTCAATTCATTGATTTCTATGGTGGGAAGTTGTCTCAAACGTAAGTTTTCTGGTAATGATGCACTTTCCTGCACCCCATGTTGATATCATTAATTGTAGTGGGAATCAGTTTTCAAAAGCTGGGAAGGATGTGCTATAGTATATTAACTAACTAGGAGTCCCATGTGCCATGCTGGTGAAATTTTCAAAGATTAACATGATTTCTTTACTTTTCACATCCGATAGATAATAGATATGCATGTCATAACCACATGTTTTGCTCTAGATACAATCATTAATGGCTCTGTCCTTCCTTGGTGCCTTATGGCTTATTTGTGTTATAATGTGTTGATGCAGTTTTTTTTATCTCATCTTTCTTTTGTAGGTTTTGCTCAAACAGTCCAACTTGGGCAGAGAATATCCTTAGCTTGGAGGATCTGCCAGATTCTATGTTAGATAAGTTGAAATGGATCCATGGAGTTTTGACAAAAACACAGAACAGTCCAACTGGTTCCAGTTTTGAATTCCTATCAGGAAGTTTCTCGAGGAATGCTGATATTATGAAATTTATACGAAATGCTGTCTTACTCTGTTTAACTGTTTTTCCACGTAATTACATCCTTGAAGAAGCTGTTCTCATTTCTGAAGAGCTTTATGTTACAAATATGAATTCTTCTAACTGTGTGGTTGCACCATGTCAAGCTTTAGCAAAGTCTCTTTTAAAAAGTGATCGACAGGTATTCATTTTCTGTGCTGTCTCTCTTACTCCTTTCTGTAACATATATAAATGTCTTTTTTTAACAAAAGAACTGTAGTATCTAGAACTAGATGGTAGCTTGCTGCTATTCTCTCATTTGTTTAAATGATTGAACAACTATTTTCATTAGAGTAACATTTGCATTTGATTCTATTAGTCTTATCTTTTATTTGCTGTTGTAATTTGTAGGCTTCTCATATTATTTCTGACTTCTTGTTATTTTGGTTATTGTAGGATGTATTGCTATGTGGTGTATATGCACGAAGAGAGGCTAATTATGGTAACATTGATCATGCAAGAAAAGTGTTTGACATGGCATTGTTATCTGTAGAAGGGCTTCCTGTGGTATGTACTGGTTTCCTGCTTCAATGTATCTTTCCTTTTTCCGAGAGGTTTTGGTTAACTCTTTTAGTGGCAATTTCAAACTTCTGGTACCTTTTGTTTGGAGCACAACTCTTGAACTTTTAAGAAGGTTTCTTTTGCACAACACTTGATTTGTGATATTAGGCATTTTGCATCTATTTGGTTTTAAAAGCACATGGCCTTAATAGGTATTTCTAACAGATCTCTCACAAATCTTATAATTGAACTAAATAAAGCACAAACAAATGGCCCCTTTCCTGATGTTTTATTCCTTTTCATAATTGCATTTTTTTTTTAAACTTGAGTAGGAACTGCGGTCCAGTGCTCCTCTTCTATATTTCTGGTATGCTGAGGTGGAGCTTGCACATACATCTGATAATGATTGTGAATCTTCATATCGTGCAATACATATATTATCATGCTTAGGAAGTGGAACCAAATACAACCCATTTAAAAGTCAAGCATCAAGTTTGCAACTGCTTAGAGCACATCAGGGATTTAAAGAAAAACTTAGAACAGTATGGTCATCTTGGGTTCGTGGTATAATAAATGACCAATCTGTGGCTCTAATATGCTCTGCTGCATTGTTTGAGGAGCTAACCACTGGATGGGATGCTGGCATTGAAGTTTTGGATCAAGCTTTTTCAATGGTGCTTCCAGGTTATGTCTCTTCAGTAATTGATTTTCTTTTTAGAAAAGATAAGACCTGTAAGACAAGTATGCTTTTGTTTTAAAATTCCAGTAGACATTCTTAATTGACTTTTCTAACATTACTCAATCTGCCCCCAACCATCTTCTTTTGTCACTTGTTGATAAATGTAAGTTTACTAAGCAGAAATTCAAAACTTCAAGTGAAGCTTATACTGTTGTTTGTGACGATTAAGTGAAAAAAATTTAGGTGGTTGATGAAATTTAATGTTTACTATCATGAAGTATGTTAAACTTGTATTGATCTCAATAATTATGATTTAAATTGGAATAAGTTATCTCACCTTCCATAGGGATACAGCTAGGAATGGGTATCTGTTGTATCTTGATGACGCATGCCTATTTCTCCTAATATTGTATGATTTCAGTTTGACCTGTGGACATACAGGTAAATGTGTATTACATGCTTTTGATGAAAAGGAATTTAGTGTGGTTGCAATTGAAACATGGTCTTTAATTACTAATATTTGCACTGGCTTGTAAACACACATGAAGTTTACAATACAATGTACTACAATGCTCTGTTTCATTATCTTTGTAGAAGCAATTTTCCATGTGAACAGTTTCTGTTGATGCATAACTGTTGATTTTGTTACTTATCTTGTCTATCTGAATGCTTGCAACATGCAGAAAGGAGAAGTCACAGCTATCAGCTTGAATTTTTGTTTGACTATTACATAAAGATGCTTCAGAGACAATCAAGTCTGATGAAAGTTTGGGAGTCTATCTTGCTCGGCATCCAGATTTATCCCTTCAGTTCTGAACTTCTAAAAGGTGTAGTGGAGGTCGGCCATCTTTACACAACATCTAATAAATTGCGGCGGTTTCTAGATGACTGTTGTTACAAGTATGTTCCTTATCCATACATATAGCTTCATGATCTTGTCATGGCTTGAAAAGACTGAAATTTCAAGACAACATTGGAAAGGTTGAAAAAGGTTTTAAAATGGTGTCTTACCAGAGTCAACTAGCTTGAGTTAATTGTCATTTCTCAGATAATTTGAAGACCATTAGTGAAAATTTGTAACTTTTATTCCACAACTAAAATTAAATTTAAAGTTCTTTTTACTGGTGTAATATATGATGAAAAATTGTTAAAAACGAATGATATCTGTTTCTAATAGGGAGGAGAATAAAGGGTGGAGAGTATATTCTAGAAGAAACAAGCAGGTAGAAGACCAGTGAGTTAGTTACAGCAGTTCGGAGGTTAGGGGACCATTCTGAGAAAAAATGTGGGGTGGGGGGTAGGAGGGGGTGATTGTTATTGAAGACTGATACATTCTCGGTGAGGTGTATTTCTCCTGTCAGAGGACACTTCCTCTTGTAAACTTACATTCTGAATAAAATCCTTTCATTCCGTTTTCTTTTGTTCTGTCTTGCACTATTCTGCATGCCCATAATCACAGAATCTAACAGTTTCCAAGACTATTCTGTGTATGAATTTGATGGTAAACAAAAACTTTTTTTTTTTTTCATGTCATATTTTGTTTTGACCAAGCAGAAGGAACTGTAGCCTCTTTTAAGGCAGATTGCTTTGTCTTTTCTACCTAAAACATTTGATGGAAATGAGAAATTTGTTTCATTACTCAAAATGTTTAGTTTTTCACTTTCAAGCATTATCTTGATGTTCCAAGAACATTGTAAATATGTTGCAACAAGCCCAAGTGGAGTGCTTAAAACCATGATAAGATTGTACTTGTACATCAAGAAGAGAAATGAAATGTCCTAGCTTTATAAATAAAAAGTGCTGTTTCTAAATTTACTTGACTCCTATCTGTTACTACTTATCTTTTTCTTTCCCACTTTGTTTTAAATTCCAAATGTTCCTGTTATTTTCTATAAGCAAATTCTCAAATATAAACTATGCAATAATTTCTTCTTTTATGGTACACTTTCAGGAAACCATCTGTAGTTCTCTGCCTTTTTGCCTTGTCATACGAAATGTCTAGAGGTGGGTCACACCACAGAATCCGTGGAATGTTTGAGAAGGCATTGGGTAATGACAGGCTTTGCAGCTCAGTTATACTTTGGCGTTGCTACATTGTATTTGAGATGGAAATGGCACATGATCCTTCTGCTGCTCGACGTGTTTTCTTCCGGGCTATCCATGCCTGCCCCTGGTAAGAACTATGTTTTATATGGGTGAATGATATTTCCTTAAAGGTAAATTGATTTTGCCATAGTTGAGGTAGAAAGAAATATCAAATTTTAGAGATGGAGTGTTGTGGACTACAGTTTTAACCCAGAAGTCACTTGCAGTCCATTATGGATGTGGTGGGGACTTGGATTTCTAGTTCTAATGCTCACAAAATGTTCCCTGTCCCCAAAAATTTAGCAAAAACAATTATTGCAAGGTATAGACAAGGACTATGTGAGTGGACACATTAACAATTCTATGAAGAATCCCTCTTGATTTAGTTTTTCTTATTTCTACAAAAATATTAGAAGGTAAAACTTTGTTCAAAGAGGGGGTCTGTAGGAACAGCTGCATCATTGCATCCTTCCAAACCATCATAACCAATTCTCTCCATCCTCATCTCTTTCCTTTCGTCCAACCTAGTGTGTTAAGAACAGAGCAATTGCAAGTATTGTTTAGTCTCCAACATTTAAACATACTTAAATATGGGGAGAGGGAGTTTTGTTTCCAGCTTGCAATTCATTCTTTCCAGTGATCCTTTACCGACAATGGAGTGAATTTGGGCCATTTGGCTTGCACCACTAAAAAATTATCTGGTTTGTGCTTTCAAGTGATGATGTATAAAATAATGAGAACAATAAGGTCAAAGAAGACTTGGTTGTGAACATTTTATTGTAGGAATAAGGAAAATAACTTGCTTAAAGTTGGGTGGTGACATATTCTGTATGCTCACAGTTAGGTTAATCCAAAATGGAAGTGCTCCAAGCCACATATGCCAGTGTCTCATCGTGCTTATTTCTGAGTAGGCAGATGATAAGTCCAATAAGTCTGTGGATGGGTTTCTGAGTATTGGGCCACCAAGGCCTGAGGTCTAGAAGGTGTATACTAGAACAAAAAAGGCACAGGAGGATGGAAATGCCAAAGTGGCAAAAATTAATTAGGAGAATTTGTTAGAATATTTGGAGGTATATAGATGGGGGGGATAGCAGAGGAGGCTTTTCTGTTAGTGGATTATTGCCACAGTGAGACTTTGCTGTGATTACTTGTTTCAGAGCTTTTGCTCTGGTGTATGTGCAAAATACTGTTGCTTGATCTTTTGAGTCTAGTTTTGGGCTCTTTATTTGATATTGTATTCAATGTTATCATTCAATGTTATCAATGACGTATGGTGGGTCATGGCAGAAATCCAAAAAACTGCCATAAAATTATGGCGGCCATCATGGTGGGTTATGACGGCTATAATAAATATATAAAAAATATTATATATAGGTAATAAAAAATTATAGAAAAAAAAAAATTAACTCAAAACACAAGTAGCTTCACCCATAATTCAATACATAATAAACATTTTTTAATTTTTTTTTTATGTTATCTTTTCTTCCGCCATTTTGTTTAGGGTTCTAATAAAAATGTTTACTTTTCTTTTCTGTCCCACAGTTTTTAGGGTTTTATAAGAGTAAAAGACTTTTTCCTTTTAAAAAAATTTAGCTTTCCCTTTTTGCCCTATGTTTTAAGGTTTTTTTAAGGGTAAAATAGTCTTATCACACTACTTCCCTAATCCTTTTTTCTTTCTCCACTTCTGTTCGAGCTATCTTCTCCAATATCCATCTCTCTCTCTCTTAGTGAGCCGTCTCTATCTTTGGTTTGGGGTGGCTCCCTTCCCTCGTTGGGAGGACTAGTTGTTGGAAATAGAAGTTGAAGTTGCTGGATATGAAGGACCAGTCGCCAGAAATGGAGGTTGAGGTTGCCGGAAATGGAGGAAAAGTCGCTAGAGATGAAGAACAAAACAATGGCACCTAGCAGAACAAATAACAGATTAGAGAAGAAAGAGATCGGAGAAGATGAGTGAAGAGCGACATCGGAGACGAGCAGAGATAAGAGAGAAGAGATAGATCTGAAACGAGGGAGAAGGGTTTTCGAGTGACAAAGAGGGACTTACCTTAGGTTTTCCTGAGTGGGTCAGCCTTTGGATTGGGTCAGGTTTGGGCCCAAACCTCACAAACCGCCATTTTTTGAGGTTTTCTGCCATGGCTGCCGTTACCGTCATGTGTAACGGCTGCCATGACGCCGCCACGTAGCCATGAAACGAAAGTGGTGTAATGGTGGGGTTAAAAATTGCCACTGCAATCTGCCATGACACCACCATGACCGCCATTTAACAACACTGATTGTATTCGATTCAGCTAATTGAGTTCTTATCAGCAAAGTTCTATTTTAAAATGGTGCTTAATGTGCTGAAACTGGTAAGGCACCATAACAATTTCCAATTGAATTTTGCATCGCATAGCTATTTGAACATTCCATAGTAGAATTTTATCCCTCCAAAATGTATAATACCAAGTAGATTCCAATCTAGTGTCATATCTGTCTGTTAGCATGTTGTGTACTGGTCCTGTTATCTTATAGCCTACTTGCATAAGAAAGAAAATTTGGTTTGGTAGATTAAATCACAAATTCATGGGTTCCTATAACATGGTGCTAAGTGCGAAAAATAAACAGATGCTTAATATGCTTAATGGTCTGTTCACCTTATCTACAAGACTTCAACTTTGTCTTGGAATCTGTTGTGCCTAGAAACAGTACTATTTGGAATATTCTGGAACTAAACCCTTCCCAATAATGTAATGCAGATACAGTAGACCTAAAAGGGAAATTTTCCACTCAGGAATATTATGTGATGATATTTTGAACTCTCAATTTACCCTTGCAGATCTGATACTTATTTTTGTGTGTATACATATTTGTTCCTATTGTTGATGTTATTGTTATCATTATTATTAATGTCAATGTGCATACCAGGTCAAAAAGGCTTTGGTTGGACGGCTTCCTCAAGCTAAATTCTGTTCTTACTGCAAAAGAGCTGTCTGATCTACAGGAAGTTATGCGGGATAAGGAACTGAATCTGAGAACTGACATTTATGAGATCCTTTTGCAAGAATCATGACATTTTGCTTTCCCAAAACTGCCAGAATCTGACCGTAGCAAACATTGTTAGTAGAGTGTTTGATGCACTCGGCTAAACAATATTGTGTGAATTAGCTGTTTTTATTATGTTTACATGCATGGTTATAGCTTGTAGAATCGATACAATTGTAAAAGTACTTGTAAATTTTTTATTTTTTTATTTTTTTTTGGGGGGGGGGGTGTTGATCCTTGGGGACATCCGAATGTGCAACGTATTTGTAAATATATACTTGGAATACAAAGAAAAAGTAAAAATCAGGAACTTCAGGTGGCCCAGATGATTTGTTTCAGTTTTTTTTAATGATGAAGAAGCACTTATTTTAAATTTTTTTACTGTCCTTGTTTTAATTTTTGAAGAAAGCACCTCAGATTTCTGCTTATTTAGAATCTATTTTATCTTTTAGAAAAACATTTGTAATTAAATAATATTTTGTTATAATGTCAACTTGATGAAAAATAGCTATTTCTTGCATGCATTACACATGTTTTCTCCAACAAGTAATCATTCTCGAAATCGATAATTACAGAATGTTTGAAAAGCCAGTGTTAAGGAATAATGAGACATGTAAAGCTCTTAATAATGAAAGAAAAATAAAAAATCTTACAAATTTGTTAACGTAAACAAAATTGATAAAGAATGAAATATTCTTAAACGTTGTCTTGTAATTATTTTATTCAAGATTAAACAAGTATAAAATTATGTTTTATGTTAAAAATATGTTTATTTCTAAAAGTAAATTCACATATATTAATGGTTAAATTGAGTGATATGATAGATATGACTACAAAATAATTTCTCTAATAGAGGTAGAGCATGACAACCAATTTTTAATACCATGATTAACATTGGGGTGCGCTTTTTTTAAAAATAAAATAAATAAAAAATATTTTAAAAAAGTATGAAACATGTACTAATTACTTTTAATATATAAATTATATCTGAAAAGATTTATAATTTATATATAAATTATACAAAAGTTGGATGATTTGCTATTGAATATGTATCGGGTTAAAGTTAAACACATCTGTACTTAAATTTAACTAGAATGACTTATAATTTACATATATCTTACACTATTTTTGTGCAATTTATACACTAAACATGAAATACCATTGTACTAATAATTGAGCATGAATGTACATGAGCATAGTTTAAGGAATTTGGACTTTGAATTTTTTTTTAAATTTTAATGTTTTTTCAACTTTAAAAAAAATTTGTGGATGTTTTTTTATAGTATTTTTACGTTTATTCCTTATGATTTTTTGTATTTTGGTATGATTCTTGTCTGTAACTTGAGTGCATACTAATAGGATATCAAAAGTAATGACATTAGATTTAATTGATGCATTTTGTTTATTATTTAAAAATTCACTTACATTAAAAATCCTTTAATAATGTCTTTTTGTATTAGTATGATATTACAACATTCTTATACAATTTATATTTTAAATTCTAAATAAGTTTAATTGAATAAATCTTTAAAAAGTATATGAAATAAATATATAATTTGTATAAATAAGAATTTTGTATAAAATATTATGGTCTTCAAGAAAGATTGAACATAATCTTGCTATGCCGTTTTGAGCAATTTATATTCTATTTTCATACGAGAATTTGTAAGACACACCAATATTAAGTAGTTTATATTATATTTTTATATGAGCATTAATAAAAGATGACATGTTTTGAAATTTTTTAAAGAATATAACATTTTTTTTATATATAAAAAAGATGCTTGCGGTTGTTGGAGAGTAAGAAATTATTATGACACAATGTACTCATATTGTTGTTGACGTGCATTGCCAGCTAATAAAAATTTAACAAAATTTGACCTCTAGTTTTCCAATTCCTTCTCTTATTTCTAACATTAGTCCACTCATCATTTTGGTTCCCAGCTAAGTTTTATTATTTTAGACTAGGGAGGGAGACACATAACAAAGGGCATCACATTCTACACCTGTTCATAAATATTCTCTGTTCATATCTTATCTCCATCTTTGTTCAATTAAGCCGTATTTTTCGTAACACTGAGTTATGATAATGAATTTATAGGGCTTTGTGGTACCTATTCATAGGTCTTTAATTGTTTATTAATAGGTTGGGTTGATGATAGTAATACCATTAAAAAAATAGTATTTAATTCTTGCAAGAGAATGTTTGTTAGCAAATGCTAAGCCATAAATTCAGCTTGAAGTCAACTCTTGGGAGCTTAACATACGCATTGAGTATTCAGTTTATTAATTTGTTTCATTAGTTTAATAACACAGGTGGAACTCTGACATTTGGATATGTTTGAAGCTAAGGGAATGACAAACACAAGGGATTGAAACGAAACTATTATTTATTTGGTTTCAACTTTAGGACTAAGATTAAGTATTTAAAAGTAGTAATTATTTTACAGAAAAGGAAGTATTTATTACTCTTTTGTATTACTAATATAATAAATATTTTTTTATTAAGTTTTACTATTTTTAGATACTTAAATTCTGCCATAAAAGTTGACGTTATTACATCGTTTTTTATTTTCTTGGCTAAGGCTTCAAACATATTCCTACATTGAAAACATTACACAAGTCTGAGAGATAACAGTTCATCTAACAATACTTTGTTTCTCATTCCTTTTGGATTTGCAACAGTGGAACGAGGATTTTAACTCAATAAAGTACCCTCCTTCACAATAGAAAAAATTCAAGCACTTGAAACCTGGAAACAGAAAGAAAAAGAAATGGTTAATCTAATATTTCAACTGCAAACATATTTGCTTTGATGATAAACTTTTTATACTCTTATACTTTCTTTTATGGCCATTAAATCAAATAATCAGAATAAATGTAAGTAGAGACATTATTTTTATCAGGGAATAACATATCTCTATTGACCTGTTCTTCCAACATTGTCCACTGCACATCTTCATTGATCAAATATTGGCCACCACTTTGTTTGCATTTCATTTGCCAATGGTTGTTTTTTTTTTTAAAGTACAACTTAACACTTTGAAGTTGTTCACTGCTAAATGACAACCTATAATATCTTAATCCCAGTTCAAATTGGAAGATACAGCATAAAGGAACAAAATACCCTTTAGTGCAAACCCAATCAACAATTGAATAATGAATAATTAACTTGAAAATAAACTTTGCTGGCTGGTCAACTATATCTGTATGCATATCACTAATGAAGCCTATGATGGCATCACTATATATAATCAAAACATACTTAGGCTAAGCACAAAAGTCTAGCTAGTTACCAACTTCTCCTTTTCATAACCCTTTTTTCACAACCATCCATGACAAGCCCTCCAAGTCTTGTTTTAACCATAGCACTTTGTGTGCTAACATTCTTAAAGCCTTCTCTTGCTGTATTTGTAAGCATTGATTGTGGATCCTCTGAATCTTTCACTGATGAAAACAATATAAAATGGACTGGAGATGATGCATACATTAAACATGGAGAGTCTCAACAGATCTATTTAGGTTCTGACCCATTGAGCACTTTGAGGGTTTTCACAACTCATAAGAAGAATTGTTATTCCATCAAAGTTGGAAATGGTGAAAAAATTCTTACTAGAGCAAGCTTTTACTATGGGAATTATGACAATAAATTCTCTCCCCCCATCTTTGATCTTCAATTTGATGGTAACTACTGGGCCACTGTGAACACCTCAAGTTATTATTATGTTGATTATGAAGCAATATATGTAACAAAGGGAAACTTCACCAGCATATGTGTTGCTCAAACAAAGCCTAACCAATTTCCCTTCATATCATCCCTTGAAGTGCGTAGCTTGGACCCTACAATGTATAGCCATGTTGATTCCAATCATGCATTGATTTTGCAATGGAGATATGCTTTTGGAGGAAATCAAACTATCAGGTATTCAAATTAAAGTACTAATAAAGCACGCAATATGTTTTTCCTTCTTTATACTATTCTACAATTGTTAAGGCTTGAATCTCCTTAATCAATATAAGAATTCACTTTTCTATTGAATAACTTATATGATTGTTGAATTTATTAATTCAACCAGTGGATTATATTTTTTGACTTTTTATGAGATAAAATTAGTCAAAAAGTTTCCATATGATTAGAAAATTAACTGGTATTTTTATGCATTAATTTATTTTAACATATAGTATATTTTCTTAAGTAAACAAAATGTTCACTTATAGTTTATACATGAATGTGCATTTATCTAAAACATGGTGCTTGACATTATTGTTGTTGCATCAACTGGAATATGCTAGGTACCCAGATGACATTTTTGATCGAATATGGATGCCATCATTTGGTATATTGCTTTCTGAAATCAAAAGTGAGGCATCTGGCTTTGACATTAGTACAGCAGAAGATCATCCACCAAGTGCTGCTCTGAAAAATGCTATTATTTCCTCAAGCACTAGAGAATACATACAGTTTATCAATTATCTTCCAACAAAGGAACTCCCTATATATATCACTACTTACTTCTCAGAAGTGATGAAAAGTGCAGTTGGCAAAAGATCCATTCAGATGTACATAGACAACAAGCCCTTTTCAAGTCCCATAGTTCCTCCTTTTGGAAGTGTACAAGAAGTTTACATCACCAATATGACAGCTTCAGCAAACACTTCGTTTATTTTGCAGGCTTCAGACTCTTCAACCCTTCCTCCTATACTCAATGCTCTTGAAGTTTATACATTAAGTGACAAATTAACTGCAGGAACTGATAGCAGAGATGGTAAATGTGTTATAATATATATATATATATATATATATATATATATATATATATATATATATATATATATATATATATTGATGTTTAAGATTAAAGGTTAATTTAAAGTCTTGTCAATTTAGAAGTTGCCTAACTTTTTAGAAATGTTTTAAATAGAAGATTTTAAGGGTTAAATATATTTTTGGTACCTCAAAATATATTAAAATTTGATTTTAGTCCTTGTAAAATTATTTTTTTGGTTTTAGTTCCAATTTTTAAACAATATTAATTTTGATTTGTAGTCATTGTTAAATGATGGTGTGACTAATTCAGATGTTGCTATGCATTAATTTTTGAAGCCTGTGTTGCTTTTTTGTAAAGTCAAGTCAATTAGAGCTATCAAAATCAATAATTTAAAAAATGTAGGAATTAAAACAAAAAAAATTAATTTATTGGGACTAAAATCAAAATCTGGTGATTTTTGAGAGACCAAAAATATATTTAATCCAACTCTAAAAGTTATCATGAATTTATATATTTATTTTTCTATTAACTTTGTATTCACACTTCTGCTCGTGTTTTCTTTTGGCAATTTAGTGGAAGGTTTATTACAACTGCAGATGGCATTTGAAGTGCTTGTGGAGTGGAGTGGAGACCCTTGTCTACCATATCCATATAACTGGGATTGGATACAATGTACCACTGATGTCAAACCTCGTGTAATAGCATTGTAAGTTGATATCATTTTTTCCAATTAAAGTTTGGAAATTTTATATACTATAGGCTAATATTTTTTTGTACATATATATATGATTGAAAAACATAGGTATCTTACTGGTTATGCTCTGCAAGGCATACTTCCAGATTTCAGTTCCATGAATGCACTTGAAACCATGTAAGACACTTACAAAACCAAGAAGCATGCCTTGTTCCTTAATTTTCTTCTGAAATGATAAGCCAATGGCTTTCTAATTACTTAGTAAATTAACCTTTTCTCATTTGCAGTGATTTTCACAACAATACCATAGAAGGCGCCATTCCCCATTTTCTAGGCCTATTGCCAAATCTTAAGACATTGTAAGTTTCAATTTTATATACATTTTGTTTCAACAAATGCAACACATGATTTCAGCTCTATACATTGAAAATTTTTCCATGCTTTGTGCAGGAATTTATCTTACAATAGGTTCAATGGCTCCATACCCACATCTCTAAAGAATAAGAACATAGAACTTGAGTAAGTTTAAGTTTTCTCTGCTTTTTGGATAATGAGCAGCTAGAGTAGAACTTAACCAAACACTGACCAGTGCCCTAACAGTACTATTTAAGAAATCTAAAATTTTTTAACAAAAATGTCATTAATATATACACCTATTGTGATTTTCAATAACTTTTTTATATTTTAATTCCTCAAGACCCTTTGAACATATTTTCTTTCTGGTTAGTAAACCTTTGTTTTCTACTCTCTTGTGTCACTAAACTACTCCTTTTAAAAGTGCTGAAGCTATTGGAGTTGTTAGATGATAATTAATCTCATAGTTATTTTAACTGTTAGTTAACAAAATTTATCCCAAATAAACAAGGATATTATTAAAAAAAATCAATATTTTTTAATATTATAAAATAATAAATAATTTAAAACAAATAAAAAGTGTTAATGACACTTAATATAAAATAGAAGAAATAACAACTTTTCTATGGTGTAAGTTTTCTAACTTTTATATGCCAATTAATTTTAGTACAACAAATAATTGCCTCTCGGGAATGAAGTGTCAACCTCTCAGTGATTCTTCAAATATCCTACCATTATCGCCACCATCACCACCTCAACTTGGTTCGGGCGATGAACCAAATAACCCATCACCACAATCAGAACTTCGTGCAGGGGATGAACCCTTGGGAGGTGGAAGCATTAAGATTAGCGATCTAAACATAGCATTCATAGTAGCTATGCAAACTTTGCTACCACTGCTCTTCATGAAATTTGTGTGAATGGGAAAGTTTTGTTTGATCTTTTACAATGATCATCATGAAATTATTTAGCAAGTCTCGTAATGTATGTCTATTCTAATTTTGTTTCCAACTAATTTATTTTTATAAATTATCACATGTATTTGATTGATTCTATGATTGTACAAGTGATCAGTGTGCCATAAGTTATGGTCACATTGAATAAATTGTGTCAACAATTTTACATGAAATTTGAAGTGTCTCTTACCTATTTTTAAGTGTTCATATATAATTGAAAAGTAAGCATTTGATCATAAAATTAACTTTCCTACCATTGTTTTTCATGAAATTTATATGACAAGCAATGTTTTTTCCCCCTAATCTTTTGCAATGATTATCATGGAGATAAAATAAACTTTCAGAGTGCATCTTCTACTACTGCACTTTAGTGTATGTGTGGGAATGATTGAATAATTTTTGCAAGTGTTTTGCGTTTTGCCATTTGTGCCACAAGTTGTGTTCACATGGATCGAATCGACTATGTTAACGATTTGAAATTGTTAATTATTTTAAATTTTATTTTAATGTTATTCTTTTTATTAAACTCCTGTGACTTATACTCTCAACTTAATGGCAATGGTGAAATCATTAAGAAATTTTTTTTATGTATTTAAAAGTTTTATTTTATATAAATGAACAAAAATCATGTGGAAGTTACTCTTTACCTTTCTCACCCAAAGTGGTGAGATTATTATAAATTAATTGATTATTTCTTGTTTCTTTACTTAAATATTTATTAAAATAATATAAAAATAAAAAGTAATCATGTTGAAAACACCAACCCACCTCATTTTATTAATGGGTTACCATGTTAGCACGAGTGTAAATAAGTTGCATTACCTTAATTAATTAGGGGGTTGAGATTTGGGTATGGGTTTTGAGTTTCTCATAAATTTTCATTTTTTATTTTATCTTTGTTTAGTTATTATTGAAAATTTTATCCAAATCCAACATTAATTAAGTTGTTTATCTAAATACATCATTAAATTTTGGGTAAATTCATCTTAATTATTGTCAAGAGTTATATATAAGCCTACAAACAGTATCAAATATCAAGAAGCATCATGTGTTTTAATTAATTGTCGCGAATAAGATATGATCAGAAAACCAAGAATAGTCAACAATGTAAAAGTAGAGTGAGATATTATTAAAATGTGAATCATTTCTTTTCTGTCATCTCCTTCACTTTGAATATTTTGAGGGATAGATCCTAATTACATACGTGCAGGGAAGGTTAAGTACATAGACATAGTAAATTAATAACCAAATCTTATCCCATTATATAGGTTAAAACAGTGATGAAATCATCATGCCCATTGTTATGGAGTTGCATAAATATAAAGATACACATATTTAGATGACATTTTGGTTTTGATGCTACCAGGAATGATTTCAGGGCTCAACATCCCACAATTCATCCAATGACTTGTAAGGCCCATTTTCTGAAACAAACATCTCTCCACTGAACATCCTATGCTGTGGAATCTGGCTGAATTTCTCTGATTCCTCTTGGCTCAGTTCCCAATCAAATATTTGAATGTTTTGTTTCATCCTCTCCTTGTTGAAGCTTTTCGCAATGGCACTTGCCCCTTGCTCATATATCCATCTTAGTGCTATCTGCATGACATTGGTATTGTCCTTGATGAATTTAGTTAAAATTTGTTTATGAATCTCCAATTATGAAAAATATTACGGTTTTGTTAACTTCAGTTTCGAAGACTGAATTTAAGTATCTAAAAGTAGTAAATTGTTATTGTAGAATTGAAATGTTATACACTTGCACTTCATGTATGTATTTGGCAAATTGTTTCTCCCCATTTGAGCTGTTGCTTTTTGGAATGATGAAGGCCAAAAACAATCATGTACAACTATCTAAACTTGTGCTGTGCACAGGTTCATCAAGCATAGTATGTGGAAGATTTCAAATGACTTTTTCTGAAAGTTATTGTTCACATCAAACAAGAAAATATACAATTGTAAAAGGAAATGGACCTTTTTGTTTAGCCCTTTATTTAAATTTAAAACTTCATGGTCCAAAAGTAAAGTTATCATGGGGGGTAGTTAAGATTGAGATAGAAAGAGCACCTGAGCCACGCTCTTCTGTCTTGCAGAAGCAATTTGCATAAGAATTGGGTTCTCCATCACTGCATTTGAACCATAAGAATTTTTGTAAGCTCCTAGTGGTGACCATGCACTCACATGGATTCCTTTTTGCTTGCAGAATTCTCTAAGTTTTCCCTGCTGCCATGATGGGCTCATTTCCACCTAAAACCAATTGAATAAAATCAACAACGAAGTGCTTCATCACCGGTCAATTGCCAAATCTGCATACCTGATTCACAGCAGGAGGAATGGATGCAATTTCTAAGAGCTGAGTGAGCTTTTTGATGCCAAAGTTGCTGACACCAATAGACTTGGCTAACCCCAATCTGTAACACTCTTCCATAGCTTCCCATGTTCCTTTCATGTCAAAGGGAATCACATTCTCCTTTACCATATTTTCATACCCTTTAGCTTCAGGTTTCATCCTCACTGGCCAATGAATCAAATAGAGATCTACATACTCCAACCCCAACTTCCTAGACAGTTTTCAAGGAAACTTAGAACATAAGCAACCAGAGAAATAGTATAGAAGGAGAATATATATACTTTGAAAAAAAAATTTACAACTATAACTTGTCTTTTTGCTTTTTGGGTACATTTTTTGGATGTGTGTATACAGAAGAGATGACAAGTAACTGAGAGATAGAAAAACGTATATACGGTGTCATATAAGGTGTCAATTTTAAGCTGTTCAATTAACACAACAGATATATACTTACTGCAGTGAGGTCTTGAGAGCTGGAAGAACAAGATCATGGTGAGAATCAGTGGTCCATAGTTTTGAAGTGATGAATATTTCGTCACGGCGCTTTATAAGGCCTAGCTCTAAAGCCTTTGACACAGCTTTGCCTAGAGCCTCCTCGCTTTCATACAAAGAAGCAGAATCAAAGTGTCTATAACCAACTTCAAAGGCATCGATAATGATGGAGGTGAGAGCTTCTTGTGGTGGTTGAGGAAGTGATGCGGTTCCTAGGCCTATCAGTGGCATCTTGTGCCCTGAGTTTAGCATCACTTCTGGGATTTTCTTTGCTTCCATATTGTCTGTTGGGTTTGGTTTGTGTTGAATGTTATTAGAATATATGAAAGTTTTCTTTTTTCTTTTATGTTCAGTAACAAGATGAAATATATTGTGGTTATGTGGTTGTTTGTATTCACATGTCAAGCTAAGTCTTTGAATAGATCAAGGAATTTTACCTTTGGGCAGGCCGTTCTGCATAATTTTACTGATTTTCCCTTTCCATTCTTGGCCCCACTTTTTTTTCTTTTCTTTTTTAGGTTCAATTTTTTTATTCACAAAATATTTGATGCAATATGATAAAAGGCCGGTCAATGACTTGATAAACAGGTTAATTAATTATGGTTATGTCTGGTTTGTCCGGCCATTAAATTTCTACCTGTCATGCACGAAGGACTTGGTAACAACTAATTCGGTTTTTATGATGTAGACCTAAGAGAAAATCAATGAATAATTAGAGCATGTTTGATTTTCATTTTAAAAATAATTTTTAGTTTTTAAAAATAAAATGTAGTATAAATTTACACTATATTTTATTTTTAAAAACTAAAAACTGTTTTTAAAAAAGAAATCAAACATGCTCTAATTTTTTTTTAATTGTAGCACTTAATGTTATCGATGCTTTAGATTTTATATCTTATGATTTCCAATACAAACTTCTTTTATATAGGTTCTTATTGTGTCTTTAAATTTACCAAACTCATTAAATCAGTGCCATGCCGTCTAGGAACAACAATGAGGTGGAAAAAAAAAGAAAAAGAAAACTTAGTCTATAGGTGTTTTATAAGTTCAAAAATTAACTCATCTCATAATTAGATCTAGGATATCAAATTGATAACAATTGGCAACTAAGTTGCGAATCCAAACTTACAGATATAACGAGTATTCATTTTCCTCTGCATAATAGCCAAGGCTTGCAGGAAATTGATTCTTCCCACTTTCTGAATGAGATAAAAAGGAAAACTAACTGTCTTAGTGGAAAGTATGAAACTGAAAAATGAAATAGCATAGCTTTGTGCCTTTTTTGGTCAACAACATAGTTTTGTGTGAATTTTGCTATTTGAACAAGAATTTGTCAGGGGTCGCCATCCCAAAGCTCTTCCAAGGACTTGTAAGGCCCATTTTTAGATATAAACATTTCTGCTTTGTACAGCCTGTTCTGTGGAATCTTGCTGATTTTGTTTGATTCCTCTTGGCTCAGTTCCTAAGTAAATATGTCAAGGTTTTGTTTCATCCTCTCCTTGTTAAAGCTTTTTACAATGACACTTGCCCCTTGCTCATATATCCATCTTAGTGCTATCTGTATAATCTCCATGTTAGAGATGAACTCTTAGTATAACAGTGTCATCTCAATATAGTGCACTTACATATGTTAGGACAACTAATATTCAGTCTCAATCTCTCAAGACTTAAAAACAATTTCTGGCTAAATTTGTCCAAATACATACTAGAAAATATAATCAATATTCATGTATTGTTGAATATTATTAAGAAAGGACTTGTTGTGTTCCTTTGAATTGGGAGTTTCAATCATCATTGTTTTTAATAGACAAAATCCTCTCTGATTTATATTCCAAAGCCATTTTACCCTCATCTAAGAACAATGGAACGATCAATACTCTTGGAGATTGCAAAAGGTAACTCTAGTTAACCTTATTAAAATCTTTTTGGCAGAAAGATAATAGAGTGTTACTGAAAACAGTTTTAAATGAAATATTAAGCTGCACCTGAGCTACTCCCTTCTTTCTAGCCTCAGCAATTTCCTGAAGAATTGGGTTCTCCATCACTGCAGGTGAACCCCAAAATACATTTTAAGCTCCTAGTGGTGACCATGCACTCACATGGATTCCTTTCTGTTCGCAAAATTCTCTGATTTTCCCTTGATGCCATGATGGGTTCATTTCCACCTAAAAGCCAAATAAGAGACATATCAACTATGAAGCTTTGAGTGTCTTACAACACTTATGGCATAATGAATCAATTATTGCAAAATTTTTGTACCTGATTAACTGCAGGAGGAATATTGGCATTTTCTAGGAGTGAGATGAGCTTTTCGATGCCAAAGTTGCTAACACCAATAGACCTGGCTAAGCCTAATCTATAACAATCTTCCATAGCTTCCCATGTTCCTTTTATGTCAAAGGGAATCACATCCTCTCCAGTAAAGTTGAAGCCTTCAACACCTTGTTTCAACCTCACTGGCCAATGAATCAAATAGAGATCCACATACTCCAACTTCAGCTTTCTAAGCAATTCCAACCCCAAAAAACAAATAAAAAAATCAATTTTATTAACTTCAGCACTTAGGAATGATTTTGAACATAAAAAAAACAATGATCTTTTGTAAAAAAAAATAACATTTATTACACTTTTACATTGTCAATGTAGTGAATACATTCTTATCTAATAAAAAAATTGTTACTTTTGGTGGCTAAGGATAACATTTTCCACAAAAAATTAAAGGAAGAGGCACAAGTGTAAATGAACATAAAAAAGAGAATTGTGCTCACAGGAGAGGGGTCTTGAGAGCTGGGAGAACAAGGTCATGGTGAGCATCGGTGTTCCATAACTTTGAAGTAATGAACACTTCGTCACGATTCTTTATAAGGCCAAGCTCCAAAGCCTTTGACACGGCTTGGCCTAGAGGTTCTTCTGTATCATAGATAGCAGCAGTGTCAAAGTGCCTGTAGCCTATGTCAATAGCATCAACCAAAATTGAGGTTAGAGCTTCGTGTGATGGAAGAGGTTTTGTTGCAGTTCCAAGGCCTATCATGGGCATCTTTTTCCCTGAATTTAGTACTAACTCTGGTACTTCCTTTTCTTCCATGTTTTCTTGTGTTAGACACAATTGTATCGTGTGTTAACTTTGAGACTTGATTTGTGGCTATGTTGTGTCCATGCGTTAGGTTTGCTTTATCCTCTAATGACATATCCTTGTGGATACGAGTGTAAGTAACTTAGAGCTTAAACTTGAGTTGCACAACTCACCCTACATATGAATATATGTTTTTGTAGAGGGGATTTAGCTGTCACCACTCTCCAACATGCCCCAAGTAACTAAGAAATATCCATGAACAGTTGCAAGGAATATTTGTGCAGTATGATGGTGATCAAAGAGTAATGTTGGTGAGTGATGACAACAACAATGCTTGATGCTTTTGGTGGAAAGGAGGGAAGGGTATGTAATATATATTAATAAATCTGAACTACACAATTATACATAGATAATTAAAATTAAAAGATCTTTAAAGTCATGTGATCACTTAAAAAGTTATGTGAATTTTTAAAATTATCACATAATTTTTATATTTTAATCACGACTATTCACAATAAGATCTAATGGTTAAGATTTCTTCACGCAAAAAGAGCATTCTCATTTGATATGTCTTCCTCAGTTGATGTTTTTTTTCCAAATAAAAAAAAGCCAAACATGTTACAACCACAAAGTGATGTGACATCATTTACAAGTTCTTGTTTGTGAGTTCTCTTTCGAAACCCAAGATTATTTATCATACGGATATGCACTGGAATATTTGTTTTATTCGGAGTTGGAACAAATATGCAGAGTCGCAGAGCTTTCACTCATTGAGGCATGAGACATGACCATGACGAGGTTAAATTTGAATGAAAGAGGTACCACAGCCTCACTCTTCTCACAAAATTGCTACTCTTATTCAACTTAAGACACTTCTCAAGGTCTCAAACAAGGGCACTTCTGAAGTAAATACTGAGACTAGCGAGGTCTTTATTGATAACAGAGGATATGAGTATTTGAATTTTCTTAGAGAAGAGAAAGAACAAAGGATGGACACTATTAGTATCTTTTCTTTAATGGATTTCTTTCTACACTTCAAAACAGAGAATATAATATCAATATATATAATCTCACAACAGACTCTTTAAATTTGCTCACTAAATATACTAATAACAACAATACAAATGCTATAAATGACATTTAAAACAGGAATTAAAAGATAGTAACTCTTGACCATTCAAATTCCTGCTGAAAAACGTCCCCTAAAAACTGATGATTTTTTAGTTTAATGGTCAACATTTATATGAAAATAAAACCAACCGTGATTGTTCATGCTAATAATAATAACAACAGCACAAGACAGGCTAATAATATGGAATTCAAATCTTGTTTTTATTTCTTAGGTGCATTTGGAAGAACTTATAGAGAACCTATGAAAATTGCTTATGACTGTCATAAGTTCTTTTCAGCCTATTATAATAAGCTTCTTGATATAATTTATCAAAATAAGTTGTTGAACACAATAAAAGCTGATTGAATAATCGTTTAATTAAGTTGTTATTGAAATACACCATTAGTTTATATCCTTAAATATAGTTTGAACATTGAATAATTTTTCAAACGTCTCCATCCCAAAGTTCTTCTAAGGTCTTGCAAGACCCATTTTCAGACAGCCAAATGTCCCCTATGTATTGCCTGCGCTGTGGAATCTGACTAATCCTCCCCAAATCTTCTTCACTCAGCTCAAAGTTAAATATGTCCAGATTCTGTTTCATTCTTTCTTTGTTGAAGCTTTTAGCCATGGCACTTGACCCTTGTTGGTACACCCACCTAAGTGCAACCTGAAATAACAATGTGAACATGAACACTTTAGTTATTGGCTAAATGTTCTAAGGGTTGAACAAGACAAGAACCATTATGTCAGCTGCTTAGCTTGCTTACTTGGTTGGAGATTTTTTTTACTGACCAATTTGACCACTCTATGGTTGATAACAGTGTTACTATATACAAAATTGGTCCTGTGAAGTGTGTACTCAATGAAAAGAGAAATATTTTTTTTGTCCTCCTAAATAAATACTTATAAAAGTATTGAAACGAGTTCATATACAATTTGATTGCAGAAAGTGACAACTTTTGTTACTTTGGTGACTAGGTCCACGAAAGTGTTTATTAGTCCTTTGGTCGAAGAAATTGCTTACAATCTAACAACCTTGTACTAGTAGATTATGCTTGCAAGCAAGTTGACACTTTTGAGGACCAAATTATATAAATAAACTTTAGAGACCAAAGCAATACTAGCCATTATTAAGTCAGATTGAAATGGTTAGTATCCTAGGCATGTTATGACAGCACAACAGATAAGTATTGGGGTAATATATCCTATTCATTATTTTAAATTTTAACAAATAAAATGATTAAATTTTCTAACTAATTAGCCAAAATGATTCTTTTAAATAGTAAAAATGTTTTATGGTTCTTAAAATGCTATTAGCCTTTTCTATTGCAGGTGTTTGATTGTTTTTAAGTCATAAACAGTGCCTTTTCTTTCTTCTAAAAGTTATTAGTTAATTTTTTTAGAATATGTAAATTATTGAAAGTTGCAGTTGATGAACAAGTGTTTTTTGTTCATAATTTAAACCTGAGCTATGGTCTTCCCTTTTGCCGTTGCTATGTCTTGGAGGATTTGATTCTCCATGACAGCTCCTGAACCCCAAAATATCTTATAAGCTCCAAGAGGTGACCAAGCACTAACATGAATTCCTTTCTCCTTGCAGAACTCCCTGAGCCTTCCTTGCTGCCATGATGGGTTCATTTCCACCTGAAAAAACCATAATTTCACATCACAATCATGAGTAACAAGAGTTCCAAGATCATCATAATAACAGTATACAAAATCAAATACATCTCTTGAGTAATCACATTATGATACCTGATTAACTGCTGGAGGAATGGTGGCTATTTCCAATAGTTTGGTGAGCTTTTTGGTACCATAGTTGCATATGCCAATAGACTTTGCTAAGCCCAACTTGTAACACTCTTCCATGGCTTTCCATGTCCCTTCTATATCAAAAGGAAGCAAATCTTCCTTGGAAAAAACAACTGGGTTTTCAAGATCATGCCTCAGCCTCACTGGCCAATGAATCAGATAAAGATCCACGTATTCCATTCCCAGCTTTCTAAACAACATTGTATAGCACATAAAGTACTTAAACAACATTAATAGTTAAGAAAACAGATGAACAATTGTTAACTTCAATTCTTAAGATTAATTTAAAGTATCTAATAGTTTCCACTGAAATTAGCAATTTTTTTTATTAAAAATGAACACAATTCTTAAACTTTTATATTTTTAATATAATAACTATTTTCTCTCTCACTAAAAACTTACTAATTTTTACATACTTAAATCTAGTCCATAACAAAACCAAAAAAGTAATTAAAAAAAAAAAGTGAGCACAAACACACTATGAAAATCATTAAAAACAATTTAAGGAAGGAGATTGTAGTTACTTTAATGTGGTCTTTAGAGCTGGAACAATAAGATCACGATGTGCATGTGTGTTCCATGGCTTTGAAGTGATGAAAACTTCATCTCTACTCATTATAAGGCCAATTTCTATGGCTTTGGTCACAGCAAGGCCTATGGCTTCTTCTGTACCATACACAGAAGCAGTGTCAAAGTGGCGATAACCAACTTCAATGGCATCAACAAAGATTGAAGCAAGTGTGTCATCTGATGGACGATTCTCTACTGAAGTTCCCATCCCTATCACTGGCATTTTCTGTCCTGAATTTAGCAACACATATGGAACTTCTTTTGCTGCCATGTTTTCTCTTTCTTTCTCTCTGGCTTTGTCACAAAATGTGATTATGAATTGAGGCATCATATCTTTTAAAGTGGTCAAGTTTTGTCTTAATATCAAAGGAAATTTATATATTAAAAGTAAATAACTAATTTATTAAAATTTATAAAATTTAGTTATATGTTATAAATTTATATTATAAATTTAAAATATTTATAAAATGGTGAAATTAATATTTTATCTATTAAATGAATTAATATATTTACTTATATGAATAATATGTAAATGTTTTGTTAACGTAAATTTCATAATAAATAAAGATAAAAAAAAATTAATATACCTAAAATGATTATTTGTTTGGAGTTTATGATTTAGAATAAAATATTGATAGTTATTTTTTATAACTAAAATCAAAGTTAATAGTATTAAGATACTGATTAAAAATTTAAAAATATTTTATTAAAATTATCATTGATTTAGTTTTAACATAGTCCGTATTGCATTTTTAGTGTAATTTAATAAAAAATATTAATTATTTTTTTAATCACTATATTTGTTATAAAAATACTAATTAATGAGAATTCTTAATACGAGGTGTAATAACATTAAATACATTCTATTAAATATTTTAATTATTTTAAAATAGATATTAATTTTTTAATATTCTTAAATAATAACTAATTTTTAATAAAATTAATTTATTTTAAAATTTTATTATTAAGCACTTATGAATACACCATAAAAAATCTTAATTTTGAAAAATGCAAGGTAAGAGATAATATGGGAAGGAGGTGGCTATGTTTTGCCCAACCATGTCCACTCCTTGTGCCATTTGGTTTTAGATTATTGGCCCATAGTTTGGGCTATGTTTCATGTGAATACAAAGTCACAATTGATTGAAGACAATTGTTGTGCATCAAACCACTCTTGTACTGCCACCACCATTTGCTTTAAGAAAAAGGTTACTATCAATTATCAAGAACAAAAAAGGTTACTATCACACTTTTTAATAATTTTTAAAGATATTTTAATCATTGATTAAAAAATTTATTAAAAATTAAATGATTTTATTTTTTTCTCCCTTTGATTCATCTTCTAACACTTGGACATGCCCATGTGAATAAAGTATGATATTTCTCTTATAAATGAATTTTTAAATTTGGACCCAAAAAATTTAACTTTTCTAATCGGCAAGAAAGCTAGGTTATCAATTTTATAAACGGTTAACTTCAAAGAATAAGTTAAATAATTGTGGCAATTGATGAGAGAATAAAGAGACTATTTATAACCATATTAAAAAATAGTTACTATTTATTTTCTTGAGTTTCTTCTAATAAATAATACTTAAGACTTAGTTTTTTAATACAATTTAAAAGAGCTGATATTGTATATGAAGGAAGAAATAATAATATTCCTGAAATTAAAGTCTTCTCAACCCCAAAGATCTTCCACAGTTTTGTAAGGTCCAATTTCAGAGACAAAACGTTCTCCATTGAAACCCCTATGTTGTGGTATTTGCTTTGTCTTCTCCAAATCATCCTCACTCAGCTCCCAATCAAATATGTTGAGATTTTCTCTCATTCTCTTTGGGTTGAAGCTCTTCACAATTGGAGTAGCACCTTGCTCTACTATCCATCTCAATGCAACCTGCAATAGTAGTGTAATGCTTTGTTTGGATAGAAAAAAAAAAAATACTAATAACAATATCATTTTGTTTGTTTAGTAGAGGAAAAAAAGAAAGAGGAAGAAAAAAAATTTTAATTTTTTTATAATTTCCTTCCTTTCATATTTTTTTCCTTCTTGCTTTTCTTTTATTCAGGGTAAAGAAATGTTTAAAAGAATTCAATTATTTGTTAAAAATGATTTTATTTAAGCAATTAAAACAACTTATACCAGTTTATTTTTCAATTAATTTATAAAGTATAAAACATTTTTCTCAAACTCCCATTGAGAGAATTGACCTGTGCCACAGTCTTGTCTACTGTGAAAGCAATGTCCTTCAGAATTGGACTGCTCATGACAGCAAGGGAACCCCACACAGCTCCATTAGCTCCCAAAGGGCCCCATGCACTCACGTGAATCCCTTTCTCTTTGCAGAACCCTCTCAGATTTTCTTGTTGCCATGCTGCGTTCATTTCCACCTGCAAATTTTATGTTTAGGCCAATAACAATATTAAAGGTTGAATTTTCATATGTATGTTAGTGTTTTTGACAGAAAACAATGGTTGGTACTTTACATTGTTGAAATGTAATGGAGTTAAATGAAATGACATTTAATTATATTATTTGGATTGTTTATGATTTGTAACTGCAATTGTATTTCCAACATCAATAATTGCATTTGTTCATGATTTAATTAGTGATCAAAATGCAATTATAACTCAATTCAAAGTATTGTATATTGTTTAAAATATGATGAAATAATGTATGATGGAAATGCATATTCTATTCTGACTTAAAAATGCTATTAATAGAGGAATTGAATTCACTTATTTTTAGAAGTAAAGAAACTTAATTAACTTTAAGAAAATGAGAATCAAAATTAAATATAATGTAAATTAAAAAGACTAAAAATAAAAAGTCTACAATTTAAATAGGTCACTATCTAAGGAAAATTAAGGAATAAAAATTAAAAATTTATCAACATCTTTATAAAAGATATACAAAACATTTTTATTTTTTTTGTAAAAAATATGTGTATAATTTTATTTTTTGTCTGCAAAATAAAATATAAATAACAAATGGGGCGTTTTCAAGGTGACAGTTGGCCCAGGTCATGTAAAGAGAGATTCTACTGGCTATAAGCCCATGACAAATGGACCTTTCTCTAAGCCCAGTTACCTCATTCTCAAAAGGGCTTGACCAAAAACAAAAGGACTAAACATATGTCTTACACTATTCACTCTCCTACCCAAAAATCTAAACATGTTTGACCATATTAATTACATGAATTTTGAATTATCTTATGTTATTTAATGACATGACATGATTATATTAAAAAAATATTTTTTATTGAATAAGAATTTATTATATCTGGTTAATTCTTCTTAACACGATGACATTATGTTTAACAATGTAAGAGTTAATTATGTAACAAATGAAGTGTCCTTGTAACTTAAGAATACCTGAACAAGAGCAGGAGGAATAATTGCATTTTGTAGAAGTTCTGAAAGCTTTTTCACACCAAAATTGCTAACACCAATAGACTTAGCCAAGCCCAATTTAAAGCATTGTTCCATGTCTTCCCATGTCCCTTTCATGTCAAAAGGAAGAATGTCGTCTTTGTTGTAAATAGTCCCTTTAACTTCTTGTCTCAACCTTACAGGAAAATGGATTAGATATAGATCCACATACTCTAGCCCCAACCTCCTATTAAAATGCAAAAATAAAAATTAAAAATTAGACTTTTAAACACATGTAATGAACCAAAAATGAAGAGAATTCAAAAGGGAAAGATATGTAACAATTAAATAAATGGATGATTGAATTACTCTAATGAACTCTTTAGTGCTGGGACCACAAGGCCAGGATGAGCATCAATACACCATAACTTAGTAGTGACAAAAATTTCACTACGACTTTGAATAAGACCTTGCTCAAGTGCTAGTGCTATTGCTTTGCCAAGAGTTTCCTCAGAACCATAATAAGCTGCAGTGTCAAAATGCCTATAGCCAACTTGAATGGCTTCAGTGAATGCATTGATGAGTTCATGAGGTGGTGGTAATGGCACAGTTCCAGTGCCAAAACCCAACATGGGCATCTTGTGGCCTGAATTTAGCACCACTTCTGGAACTATATCTGGTTTCATTGCTAACTATGAATTGGTATCAAAGAGATAGAGCTTATATATATATAATGTGGCAAATTTGTACCTGTGTTCTTCTTGAGGCTTAGTGAGGTCCACTTAATAGTATGACTAGTTCTGCTAATACATTGATTACTGCATTAACATTGTGCGTTAATTTAATCCCCTTTGTCTTAAATGTCAAATTCAATTGCTTAAAAGGATATGCTTTGATAAAATTATTTAATGATAAGTATTACTCAGTACTTATACTAATATAAAATACAAAAAAATAGTTTCTATTAAATGCGTGTATAACTGTTCATGAATATAAACGTTTCATTTTATTTAATAAAAAAAAATGGGTGTAATAAATACATGAATTTTGACAGTAGTATAAGGGTTTAAATTTAGTGGATTTGCTCATTTATTAATTAATATTTTACGTAGGAAATAAATACATTCATGAAAAAAATATTTAATTTATTAAGACTAATAAACAATACTTATTTTATCTGTAGAAATAGTTATTTAAAGTGTTATGGATTTGAGATGATAATTATTTTAGAGGAATATTGAAAAAATAATTAATGCTACCTCGAAATTGTAAAGTGACTATTATTTTAAAAGAGAAAAATTAATTATATGTCAATAATTTTTATTCTAAAAATACTTATAATATTAAATAGTCAAATTAGCCAAATGAATGAATGCATCAGCTTTTTATAGATAAAGAGTGCATACTTTATTAACATAAATTTTATAATAAATAAAAATATAAAAAAACTTAAAAATATAAGAAAAAAATATTAATTTAAGAGTGAAAAAAAAGAATATCACTCATAATTCTTATAGTTTTTCATAAATTTTAGTTAGAAATTGGAGCGTGTTACAAAAAGTATTAGAAAGTGTTTATTAACATTAATTTTTTTTATATGTAAAATAAAAAAATATTGCTAATTATGTTTTTTTATGAATAGGAACAAATGTAGTATTATGAATGGGCACAAGTCCAAAATCCTTATGCATTGAATTGTGTATGAAATTAATAAATACATTGATTTGGTTGGATAAATAAATACAAATGCATTATTGATTTCTTTTAGGGATGTTCGACCTATATTAAAATTTATTTTCAATAGTTATTAAATTTAAATATATATAAAAAATAAGAGATATATAAAAATTTAATTTTTATTATATATATTTTATAATATTTAACTTGATAGTTCAACTCGTCATGCCTTAACCTAACTCGCTCAAATGTAGATTAAGTGAGACTGATTAAACATGTTCAAAATCTCTAACATGTCATAAAACAAAATGACTGTTAAGCAAATCAACCAAACATATCGAAATACATGTTTATCTTTATATTGATGTCAAAGCTACAATTTATAACATGCAATTGAACTCAAACTTTCTTATTTTTAAGACGTAGTTTCAAACACATAAGAAAAGAAGAAATATCATATTAAAAAACCTCTATAATAAATTTGACTTAAAAGAACATATTTATAGTTAAATTTTAATTGGGCAAAACCATAATATACACTTAAAATTAAATAAAGAATGAGATTATCATTGTTTTCGAGGAGATCTTACATCTTCTGGCTCAATTTCTTAGGTATAACTAATGTGTTTATTGGGAAACTTTAATTAAATTTAAAAATAAAACTTACATATTGTTTTACATTCACTTTAATAAAATTTTGTATTTAATATTATTATAAATTCTTAAGATAAAACTCAAATTTTGATTGATAAATAGCATCAATTGTAATTAAGTTTTGTCCTCAATTTAATCAATTTTAAGATGAAATTTATCACAATATTAAGAGGTTTTTTATGCTACAGCTAGAAGCAATTTTGCTGAAAGTAGTAATTTATCAATGTTGTCTAACGTATTTTGGTTTTTGTAAATTTAAAACTACAATCATCTATCAAAATATACAAAATTGATTCATAATGAGCATTCAAACAGGCTCTGAAGCTTATAGCTTAATTGTCACTTCCATTTGGCAAGCAACTTGGGTGTTAGAAAGTCTTACATAATCTATCTCAGTTACATGCATTTTCTGTTCAAAAACCATTTTCTGTTCATGTTACATGCATATTAAAATGAATAGCTTTGAAAGGGAGTAAAACAGAATGAAGAAAGAAGAGAATAGTCAAACAGAAAGTACAGTTCCCATAAGAGTTTATAATAATTTAGTTCAAAACTTCGTATATTTATAATATTCGAAAAAAGAAGACGAGGTAAAGTAGGAAAATGTTGTATGAACACTCAAAAAATAGACATCTAAAAGTGCCTTCTATGTTTTATGATGTATTTTTAAATTACGTGTGTATAAAAATGATAAAAGTGAGAGATCAAAACAGTTGTACAAAATAATAGTGTCAATTTTTAGTGATTCAAATAAGAGAACTAATAATCAAATTGTGAGCTTGTACAAAACAATTTAGATTAATTTTAAGTTAATAGATTTTTGAATTTTGACAAAATCTGTCATCAGAAATCACACCTCGCCATCCCAGAGATCTTCCAAAGATTTGTAAGGTCCATCTTCAGTTACAAATTCTCTTGCTAAAAGGGCCCTACGTTGTGGTATTTGCTTAATCTTCACCAAATCAGCTTCACTCAGCTTCCAATCAAATATTTGAAGATTTTCTTTCATTCTTACTTTGTTGAAGCTCTTCACTACTGGAGTGACACCTTGTTCCAATATCCATCTCAATGCAATCTACAATACCAATAAAACTCAGAGTTTATAGTTGATAAAATTACATGTTTTTTTTAAGAGTTAGATTAGTTGGTACAGAACTTCCAAGTGTCATTAGAACTTCTTTCTTTTCATCTGCTCAAAACATTCTATAATAACATAGTGAAGTGAATGGAGCACAAGAAATTCTGTATACCCAAATTTGATTTGATTTTCTGACCAACAAAGAAAGAAAGCCAAATTCTCGTAGCTAATAACTTGTTCTGTTCAGCTTAAATTCATAAAATATTCGCTCATTTTTTAAAACAGTTTTATTTACCTTATCGGTTAAAGCTGGATTTAAGTATTCAATTGTAGTAAACTTTTATTGACAAAATAAACCATTTATTATACTTTTGTATTTCTAATACAATAAATATTTCTTTTTTCCAATACCAATTTTTACTACTTTTAAATGCTTATATTCAATTCTGAAGCCTAAAGGCAACAAAACCGTGTTTTAAAAGCTTCCTCAAGAAGCTGGAATTTAATAAATGATTATTTCTATTAAATAAACTGAACCAAACATACACTAAATTTCTAAATTATTTGGCTTGGAAGGAAATCAAAAGCAAAGAAATCCCAAAGAGGAAATTCACCTGAGGCACACTCTTGCCTGTTGTAATTGCAATATCTTTCAGGACAGGACTCTCCATCACAGCAAGGGTACCCCATGAAGCACCATTAGCTCCCAAAGGGGACCATGCACTCAAGTGAATTCCTTTCTCCTGGCAGAATTTTAGCAGATTCCCCTGCTGCCATGCTACATTCATTTCAACCTGTAAGCAGTTATGTTCTTGGATTACTGAGAATGACAGAGCTCTTTAGCTATAAATATGGAGTTATACTAGTTCCTAAGGTAACTAAACAATAAGGATATATGTGTATGAACCTGACCAAGAAAATATTGAATTTGGAATTTCATACATGCACATGTAAACAAGTAGGGATGTTACCCTTAAATGATCCAGAGCTAATGAAGCAGCACCGAGAAATGCAGTTAATTCATATACATTACAACAACCAAAAGATAGGTGTGACCACAACACTACTCAAGAAGCTTTAGTTAAAGCTATACATACTATGCTCCTCTTGTATTCTATTATATCTTATAGCTCACTTTCTCAAAGGAAACTAAAACATTTTTAAGTCCAAATATAGATCAATCATTTAATAAAATGTCAAATTGAATGCTAAAGACAACCGCTCTCAAAAAAAAAATGTAGCAGCACAAATGAAAACCAGTTCATATATATAAAAAAGAATAGATGTGACTATAACATTACTAGATTTAGTTAAGTCATCCATGATATTCTCCAAAGATTCTATCATATCTGATATCTCACTTTCTCAGAAGAAATTAAAACATTTTCATAAGTCAAAATATAGATCATTCATTAAATAAATGCTCCATAGAAGACTAAAGACCACTCTCAACAAAATATTAAGTTCAAATCTCCAATTTCTTCATCATCAAAAGAAAAAATAGGAAGCATATAAAATTTTACCAACATTATTGCAAATTGATAATGCTCACTCATACATAACCAGGTAGATGTGTACCTGATTAAGTGCAGGGGTAATAGTCGCATTTTGCTGAAGTTCTGAAAGCTTCATCACTCCAAAATTGCTGACACCAATAGACTTAGCTAAGCCTAATTTAGAGCACTCTTCCATGGCTCCCCATGTTCCTTTTGTGTCAAAAGGAAGTACATCCCCTTTTGAAATATTCCCTTCAATTCCTTGTCTCAACCTCACTGGAAAATGGATTAGGTAAAGATCCACATACTCAAGTCCCAATCTCCTATAAAATGTCCAAAACCAAACCAGAAAGCAACAAGTCAAGAGTAACACTAATAACTACATAGATCCAGTTTAGATAAACTCCTAAATAAGCACTTACATGAAAACAAAACAAAGAAATAAAATTATGCACATTAGTTTTTAAAGAAGTTGTATAAAAAAGCTTATAAAAAAACTAATGTTCATAAGTTGATTTTAACTTACAAGAGCAGTTTAATTGATCTTACCTTCTTATTTTCTTTTCTTATAAGTACTTACTATAAAGTTTATCCTAAGTTGACTACAGTAAAACAAATGCAAATTTTGATGTCAATCAGAAAATTGAATGATATAATTACTGCAGTGATTTCTTGAGTGCTGGGAGGACAAGGTTAGGATGTGCATCAGTACACCATAGCTTGGTGGTGACAAAGATCTCACCACGATTCTTAATGAGACCTTGGTGCTGCGCTTGTGCTAGTGCTATGCCCAGCGCCTCCTCAGAGCCATATAAAGCTGCAGTGTCGAAATGGCGGTAGCCAGCTTCGATGGCGGCAATGAAAACAGGAATGAGTTCATCATGTGGTGGGAGAGGCACAGCTGCAGTGCCAAAGCCAAGCATGGCCATGCTGTGGCCAGAGTTTAGCACCACTTCTGGAACTACCTTTGGTCCCATCAATCTATGTATTGTCTTCTTTGATCCTATATGTTGTCATGAAACAACATCAACAAAGGATGTAATTTAAGGGTGCTGGAAAGAACTTGACTATACTTATTTAAATTTATTTTATCATATAAGACCATAAAAGAGGTGTATAACCTGTTTGGACGAGTATATAATTTTCATAAATTTTTTTTAGCTTATCAGTATGGCTTATTATAATAAGTCATTTTCTGCTCATTCCAATAAATTCTATGACTAAATTTAAGTCTTAATGTGATAGAAACTTACTGAATAAGCAGTTATCCAAACTCCACACCAAATTTATAAAAGCAGCAAAAGATTTTTTTATAAATTATTCAAATAAATCTTTGGATCAAATTCATCAAAATAATATCAACATGGAATGGAAGATAAACTTATAAATATACACTAGCTTTCAATGAGATAAACAGCATAAATTTAGGAGCAAAGAAGTGAAACAAGAGTTACTGAAATAAGATAAACCTAATGAGATGAAATGGTTGGAGTGATGGGAATTTGAGAAAAGAATTGAAATGCTTTGTTTGAAGATACTATATGGTACCTAATGGAATGGAAGCCTCTGAGACTAACTTGGTTCTGTGGATAAGCGAAAGAGAAAGTAATGAATGATGTGGCGTTTGAGTCTAAAAAGTAACAGAGCCTTTACCAACAGCAATTCAGCCTCCTCCACTCACTTCAAATGACAGCTTGGCTGAGATATAGCCATCTATCAGTTAAATATTAATTATTTTAATATAAAAATAATGTTTAAATATTTCTAATAATTCTAAGAATCTCTTAAATGTGTTTTTTTTATAAGAAAAAAATTATAAATTCTTTAAAATTTTCATAAACTCATATTTCTAAATCTTTTAAATTGGAGATTTTTTTTTTATTAACTTCTCCTTTACCTCTGAGACCTTTCCCTTCTTTTTAACTTCTTAACAAAGCTTAAATAGTGTTTGTCTTTTTGTCAAAATTGTTCTATGATGTCTTGCAAGAGATTATTTGGAATCTTCATAATTGAAAAAAATAATGAAACTTTTAGTGTTCATGCAAGATTTTTTGTATTCCAATTACTAAGAAAATTGGCTTATATAAGATATGTAGTTCTCATGCCTCTTTGTTCTTGCTTATCCTTTATTAGTGTACGTAGAATGTACTTGATCTTAATTATGTCTATATTTCATTTTGATTTTGCTTTTTACAGTGGAATGGAATCTGTAAACATGAATTTAGTACATAATTAGTAGCGTCAAAATAAACATACATTAACATGTATTTTAATACAAAACTAAACATGTTCTTGTATCTTAACTATTCGTTGTTAACTTGACCTCCCATATTCACGGACTCAATTAATTAGTTGTGTTAGACATTATTGTTGGAGCTCGATTAGAAATTCAAAGTCCTATCCTAAGAATACAATTAATATTTTATTAAATAAGAATGTTAATAATATTTTCTTTAATATACTTTTTATTATTAGCTAAAATTTATTAAAAATTATAAAAGAAAAAGAAAAAAACATAAATTTAAGAATTATAAAGAGTTAGACTTGTATTTTTATATTTTTTTATAAATTTTAGTCAATAATATAATATGCATTAAAAAAATATTTCTTACAGTAATTATAGGCTACAATAAAATATCTTAGACATATTCATTTGAACAGATAATTTTTCTGATTATTAAATATAACTACATTCTTAAATATGTAAATCTGAAATTACAAATTATGTTGAAACAACTTCACACTAATTAATTCTCAGTAGTAGATATGTAATTATTTTGTTCTTATTTTTAAATATTATTATATTTTAATCCTTTTTATAATTTATTAAAAATTAAATAAAAATATCAAACAAAGAATTTTCAAATGATCCTAAAGGATAATTGTCCCATTCAAACCGATTGAAAACAACTAAATAAAAAACTAGCAAATAATTGTTAGAAAATTTATCATGTGGTGTAGTGGAATTAATACAGATGCAATTGAACCTATTAGCCTATTATGACTCACGTTGAATCTAATCATATCCTCTCATAAACTTGTGTACAAAGACAAATAATGTTTTGAGCATAGCACAAAATAAATAACAAAGTCAAGGCCAAAAGACATGAACTGTAAGGAATTTAGTTGTTTTTGCTTCGATTAATGGAAGAAATGAATGAAACTATAGTCATTGAAATGAATGCGAGAACAAGAAAAGCAGAAGCAACAATCCCTCTAATAAAAAACTTGTCATATGTGGATCTTATTGGGTCATCCTCTGAAGCCCCTGCAGCATCAGCTGCATCATCAATGAACTTTTTCAATTCCACAGACAATGCAAAACCAGCACCAATGCCTGTGGCCAGAAGTAGACTAGTGATCTGCAATTTCATTCAATTCACATGGATATGTATATTAATATAACATGTATCAAAGAAAGGGAAAAATAACGTTAATATATAACATTAAAAAAATTCCATTTTTAGCAAAAATCATGGTTTTATGTCTCAAGACATATGATACTCTAGTTTTGATAAATAACAAACATTAACATGATTAGATGAATCTTGTGGAGTATGCTAATGTAATAATAAAATGGCAGGACCTTGTCTCCATAGAAGTCAAATTCTGCTAAGAATCCATTGCGTATCAACCTTCTCTGTTGTACTGCATAATATATGGCAAATGGTAGCTGCACTACACAATATGCACAAGCAGCTGCTGTAATCGCCACCATATAGCTGCAGTTTAACATATACAAACTTTTAATAATTAAGGTCTTTTCTACTCACTTATTTTCTTTTCCAAATGTAAAATATCAAAAAGCATCATCAAATCAAACGTATAAACAGTTCTTCCATGTACAGAATTATTAGACATATGTTAAGAAGCATTAATACACCTCATTAAATATTTTAAATTGTCATAAAAAGTATGCATTGAATTTTTAATGATTTTGAAATAATATAAAAAAAAAAACCTGTTGTGTTTATCACTTATGGACACTAGCTTGAATGGTTTCTTACCTGTATGAAGTGTAATCTTGATATTTTAGCTTTCCACCTTCATCAAATGTGACATTGTTGGTAACAAGTAAGGCCATAGTTGCTACCGAGGTTGCAAGAGTAACAATCCTCAGCACAAGCATCGAGTTAACCACAGGTTTGGTCACCATTTTTACTTCAAATGTCTTTTTCACTTACATTCATGTGTACCAAAAGTAACACCCCTTTTTTATACGCAAAACAAAAAGAGACGACTCTGTTTCTTTCTCTGTTCTCCATCGTTACCTCCAATGGCATTGGTTTTAATTAAAAAAGAAAAACATGTTTTGTATTTGTTTCTAATATTTGGATGAATGTTGGAGGCATGGAGCTAAGAGCAATGCTAATGCAACGTTCGAATAATCACCCCTTTGCAGGAATAATTATATATATGACTTATATTTAGAAAGAGAAAACATTAAACATATTTTTAAGGTTTTCGCTTTTATTCATAAAAACTAACTATAAATTTCTTAAAACACATGAAAGATATAAAAGTAACACATTCTAATGGCAATTATGATTTTCTTTTATTAAAAAAATACTTTTTCTTTTTTAAAAATCCTGAAACAAAATTGGGTGGATATTCTTCTTAGAAGAGCCATGAGATTTTAAGAAATAGTAAATTATATTAATTTGTTTGATCTTAAATTAAGTTTCGACATTTCCTTCTATACTTGCAAGCTGTACTGGTCAAAAAGTGGCCCTATTATGGATTTGTCATTCATGTGACTCTGCTAATAAAGACTTTGAAACTGACAATGGCTTAGGTTTAAAGCTTAAATTATTCACAATTTCGGGCTTTAGTAATTATACTAATCTTTCTTGAGATTAATGTCAAACACGTTATCATTCATTTTATAGATTTATTTGTTAAGATTTTGCTAAGCATTGACTTAAGGATATTGGTAAAAAAAATTAATAAATAGTAAATTTGCATTAAAAATCATGTTTAAAAGCATTAGAAGTCACAATAATGGATGCATGTTTATGCTTTCTTAATAAGATGTGTACGCATAGTGAATTTTTATTAAAAATTATGTTTATGTTCTTACTTTATTATTTTAAAGAACAGTACGTACAAAAAAAATGCGTAAAATTCTTTATAAACAAAAGATATTAATATGTAAAAATAATATATAAAGTAAATATAATAAGTATAAGCTTTGAATTAAGAATTATATGATAAAAACAATCTTTGGTACTTTTTCGATGTTTCTGAGCAGTTTTTAATGGAAGCTCCTTGGGTTTGTCACACTGGCAGCATCTTACCATAAAAATATTTGCTTCCTTGACCAAAAAGTCTCAGTTTTTGAATAATTTCACAGCAAACTATTCATTTAGTTTTAAGCTTTGGTCATTTCAATTAGTATTTTCAAGGTAGTTGTTAAGAAATTAATAAATAAATAAATTCAATTAAAAATTACATTAATGATATATTAAAAATAATGTTAAAATTGTATTATTATAATACTTTATAATAAAAATATCACATTTTATTTCTTAAAATTCTAGTTAGTATTTGTTTCATTTTATTTTTTACAATAAACATGGGTGTGATGTGATTACCATTTTTCTATTACATGATTTTTTGCCTCATTTTTTTAAATATGTTCTATATAAATGATGTTGTGTGGTGATTGATGGTTACCTGTTTTCTATTCCCTTTATTCACTCTAAGTAGATAAGAAAGTGTAAATTGTGTTTTGGCATTTATCAAACAGTTCATAACTTTGAAAGAGATAGTTTACAAGGTTGTTTGTTCAATCTATTAATACCTTCATACTCTTACATCTATTCCGAATTATCTCCATTTTAAAAATTTATTATTGAATAAATTTTAATATTTAAGATGATCAAATTCTCGTATTCAGCATGGTCTTAGCAAAGAATGACATTTTAAGAATATCTGAGGACAATATTAGAAGAAAGATAAAACATAAATTGAATTATCTTGAAAATAAAAAAATAAAAACAATAATTTCACTTTAATTTTTTTAAAAATAAAAACAAGAATTTGACCTTAACTTTAACCGCTACTTGTTGGTAGGACTAGCGTTGTTAAAACGCATTATTATAATGAATATAAAAATTAAAAACTAACATAACATTTTTAATACTTTAGTAACTAAAATATCTTATCCTAACTATTTTAGGGATCAAAATAAAAGTTTAATAAAAAATTATATTTAAAAAATCTTCAACAAAAATTATAATCAAATATATCTTTTTTTATAAAAAAAAATTAACTCTTAGACAAAATTTTAAATTTCAAATGTATTTAAGACAATAAAAAAAAGAATTTAAATCATAGTATTCTCACTGTTAACATTCAATTACATACATAGTGTATAAGATTATGAATTTAAGTCTTGATGATTACAAAATAATTAGTTTTTAACTTTATAAAAGTTTTTTTTAACTGTCATTTTGAATTAAAAAGGATTAAAGTAGATATATTTTATAGAAATACAAATTATTAAAATTTCAATAATTAAAAAATATGACTCATACAATCCTGAGCATTTGTTAAAAAAAAATCAATTTTATTATTTATTAAATCCTTAAGCATACTTGTTAGCAAAACTGAAAAATAAAAGCAATTATTGGTGCAAAGAATTATTGGACAGAATTTTATGTGATATAGAGTTTATAAAATGAACAGAAATGATGTTCTGAGCACAGGCACAGCTCAAATAAATAACAAAACAAGAAGAAGAGAAGAAGAAAACATTGAACTAAAAATAAATGATTGATTAATTATATTATCCATTAAGGCTTTATTAAGAGTGGTGTGAATGTTGAATTCAATACATTGATTATGTTGGCAAGAAAATAATAGGTATCATTTAAAGATGCCTTTGCTTCGGCTTCGATTAATGGAGGAAATGATTGAAACAATGGCCATAGAAAGGAATGCAACAAGGAGAATAGAAGAAGCGATGATCCCACGAATGAAAAAACTGTCGTATGTGGATCTTGTTGGGTCTTTCTTTGAAGTGCCCGCAGCATTGAATAAATCATCAAAGAAATTCTTGAATTCAAGTGATACTGCATACCCAACACCAACTCCTGTTCCCAGAACCATACTAATTACCTGCAATTTCATATACCTTCCATTCAGTTCACATCGTTATATATATATAACATGAATCAATGAAAGGAAAATTAAAATTTATAAAAATGTGAGAGAGAATAATTAGATTAAGAGAGACTTGTATAATTTTTTAGTTTTTAATATATTCTAATCAATAATTAAGAGTGTTTTAAAACTAGTGTATTAAAGAGTTGCTAATATTTTTCATAGTCTTATATTTTGTTTTTATGTGGCAAATTTTGAATCAATTTCAAGATCAAGACATACTTTTTACATTAATGGAAAATGTACAGGATCCTAATATAATATCCCAATCCAGGGCTGGCCTAATCTCAAAGCAAGTAAAGTTCCGGTTTTAAAGAATATTTTTATTTATTAGTAATATTTTAAATAATAATAAAAATAATTTGATAACTAATATAAATTTACTAAAACTAATAAAATATTGAACCCCTAAATAAAGGCCATGGTTAGACTTCAATTCTGTCACACTTTTCCATTATATATACTTTGGTGAAAACAATTTGACTCCATTTAATTTGCTTAGAAGGAAACTCATGACTTATATATATACTATGCTAAGAGTGTTACAAGTTTGCTCATAAAACATGCATATATAGCAGGAATATAAAAATATTCGACTCAAAATATGGGACAATTTCATGTAATTGAGATGATTTTTCTCTAACAATAAAAAAAAATCCATTCTTTTAACTGTGGCAATTTTGTAACTTATTTTCCAATAGTTTTTCATTATTTTGGTGTTCCTTCATTTATAATCTTGAATATTGTGTATGAGTATGTATCATGATTTATATCAGCACAGGTAATTTAAAATACAGGTGATAAATAATAAATTTGCAGGACCTTGTCTCCATAGAAGTCAAATTCTGGCAAAAATTCACTGCGTATCAACCTCTTCTGTTGTACTGCATAATACATGGCAAATGGTAGCTGCACCAAACAATATGCACCAGCAATTGCTGCAACCACCACCTCATACCTGCAGTTTTGACATGAGATTCATATTTTTTGTGTGACACAAAATCTTAAAATTAATCAAAATATTAACAACTTGGTGCCTTCATAATGAAACATTTATTCCATACACAAATATAGGATCTTAAATAGAAGAGCAAGATCGAAGTTTTATTAATTGTGATAGATTATGAAAATGATTATTCAATATGTTAAAATAAGTGTCACTGATGTACTAGTATTTTTATTTTTTTCTAAATCTTGTATATTTTTTTTATTAGAATCAATTTTGTTGTGTCGAAATTCTCTTTTTAAGTATTTAATACAACTGTATTTATTGAAACTTGAACTTTAAGTTTGAATAATCTTTCATCAGTTAATTCATGTGATCAGTTTTACTAGTAATTTTTTTAACACACTTTTGGAATTATAAACTGAAATTTCTTGAAATTTAAAATACAATTAATTTCATTCATTAACTAAAAATTATTTGTTATTTACACCCCTTGTATGGTTATTAATGAACACTAGCTAGCTTGAATGATTAATTTCTTACCTGTATGAATTGAAATCTTGAAACCTTAGCTTTGTGCCATCATCAAATTTGACCTTGTTAGAAGCCAATAAGGCCACAGTTACCGCTGAGGCTGCAAGAGCAACTATCCTGAGCAAAAGCATTGAGTTGGCCACAGGTTTGGACACCATGTTTGCTTCAATGGTCTTTTCTTCAAACTCTCTCTTCTTACAATATTCTTGTGTACCAAAAGAAACCCATTTTATACACAAAACAAATATGCATGACTTTGTGTGTTTCTCTGTCTTTTAATCGATAGATACAATGACATTTGTTTTAATCTACAAAAGCGCGTTTCTTATTTTCTTCTGCACCCTCATTTGGATGAACGTTGGAGCAAAGAGCAATGCTTTCATAATACATCTTCAATTAAGCACCCTTTTGCATAAATAAATTTTAATTGTTTATCTCTTAGAAGAAGAAGCTTATGATAAAGTTTTTATTTTCGAAACCAATTTTTTTAGCATGACAAAATCACTAAAACTGATTTTATTTATTTATTTTTATTTTATTGAAAAAGCTTACACAATGTTATTATAAAATTTTTAAACATGTAATTTAAATAAAAATTACTCTTTCTTTAAAAAAAAATACAAAGAAAAATGATCATACTCTTGTTGAAATAAACCTAGAGAATTTAAATAAATAGTAGAAACATTCTATTTGTTTGTTTGATCTCGAATAAAGTTTTGACATTTCTTTTTAACTCCTATGTTTAGTGAGCTCAAGGTGCCCTTAATTTGGATTTGTCTCTTCTATAATATAGGACACTGGTACAGATTTTGAAAATGACAATGGCTTAGGTTTGTACCTTAAATTATTCATATACGGCCGGCTTCATGGTGTCAATGTGTCATTAAATTAGATTATTTGATTGATCATTTGAAAAAATTCGCAAAAAGTATTATTTAGTTTGGTAATTTTTTTTTTTTACATATAAAAGCTTCAGAACTTATACTTAAAAGCTATCAATTCATTTTTTTCTTAATAATTAATTATTTTTAATAAAACAAACTATTATACAGAAATTTATTTATCTTTTGTAATTTAATCCTTTAAATTCTTTATTTAATCAATTTATTTAAACTTATAACATTTTTATTTCACTTTTAAATTTTTTTAAAGTTATATTTTTCAACAAATTAAAACAAATATTGTTCCTATTTTTCTCCACTCTCTACCCATAAGTGCTGTGAGTAGTGATTGTCTTAATTGGCCTTGATTTGAGTAGTCACTTGTAGAACTGCCAAATACTTTGAAAATGACAATAGAAGATTGGTGGATTAAATTATAATCAATTGTCGGTTTCAAGGTTTAAATTATTAACAAAAGAACAGCTTTATTCCCCCCTTAAATAATGCTTGCATAATTTAAAGGGTTGGGATAATGATAAAAGACTTTATTGAATTCATATATGTAAATTTTATTGCTCCAATATATGTGAACTAAGCCACCACCACCCTCCAAAAACAAAAATGAAAATCCATTAAAGCATTATATATCATATTAAGGGTTTGAAATTTTGGGTCTAAGATTGGGTCGTTAACAAGCATGTAAATAATTAACATGGTAAGCTTAAGAGGACCAAACCCAAATAAGAAATCTTTGGTTTGGGTATACAATTGAACCAACTCATTGGACTAAAGCCCAAAGGACCAATTGCCAATGAAAACTTGGACCATAAGAAAAATAAACATGCTGGATCGAATGTAGAAAAATAAATCTAGAATCCAAATCCAAATCCAAATGAAAAATCATTGACAAAAAAAAAAAATCAGAAAAATAAGTGCAAAAGCATGACTATTTTGATCGGATTAGGGAAGACAGAAAGAAAGAAAGAAAGAAAAATCATATTCCCAAATTTCCTTAGCACTAATTTTGCTTGGAGCCACATTGGTCTTTGAACCATCATTAAGAGGCAATTCAAGATTGATTACCTTATGAGTATAATATTCTTTCTTGTTGGCCATTAGAGATGTAAACATTGGTACCTGAGCCGAGATATTGGAGATTTGGACCAATTTTTAAGATAGATAATCCAAATTTTCAAAAAGTGTATATGTTGGTCATAAATATATTATTAAGAGGACAACTTGTTAGCTGAACAAATGGACTAATTCGATCTCAAATTAAAGTGCTTTATAGAAAAGCTGTTTTGCTAAATGCCTTTCTGCGCCTAATTATTTTTATTTTACTGATATCTGCATTTGCGAATATATCTCAACAACTGTTTTTGCTTCATTGAGTTAGTTATATTACTTTCTGTGTAAGCATTGATTAACAAGATCGTGACCCAATTCCAAGCATTGTGTCATCCACTAACTCGTGTATAAATAATTAATTTTAATTAAGCATCATTTATATGAAAAGAGAGAGAGAGAGAAGCAACATATGCAAAGCATTTTTCCTTCAATGTGAATCCATGAAAATTCAACTAAAATGTGTTAGAGGAAATGATAAGGTTTTTTTCAAGAAATAATATACATATTTTATTTAGATCATACTAGTTTTCAGCTATGCTAACAAGAGTTATAGTTTACCTAATCACCCTCTACCCCTGGTAAATAAACATTTCACATTTGAATCCAGGAATCTCCATGTATGAGTTATCTGTAAATTTTATGTATTTATTTATTCAAATTTGGACCCAGCTCTAATCCTTAATTAATGTAATTATTCTCTCACCCTTTTTTCGACCAAGCAGATACTACTCCGAACTATGCATAACATAAAAAAAATGTCACATTGTTTAATAGGACTTATAAAATTTATAAATATTATTATACATATGGATGGACAAATTAAGGATCATATATTTACTCAAATTACTTAGTGCACATTGACACAATACATATTACTTCGTACACAGATGTTAAATGATGTGTGCCTATAAGAGGAGCACGATTTCTTTTACATCATAAACAAATATATATATATATATATATAAGGTACTTATGCATTTAGCACTATTAATTCTGCACAAATCAACATTCATGCACTTTTAAATACATGCACTCGTTGAAGTCTCCTCAATTATCACAGCTGATTAAAATGTGAGACAAATTATAAATACGACGATTTATATATATATATATATATAATTTTATTTTTTCATTCTTTTATCTTTTCTTTCTCTCTTCCTTGTAAAACTAACAATATGCTGCTATAACATTTCCACCGTATAAAAATGTAAAAAATAAATAAATACTTTTGTTCAAAGCATTATATTTAGAACAACCTCCTCTTAATATAAATTATTCATGTGTGTACACATATCTTACATTACATAATTTAGCATTTTTTTTCTGCAATATGAGCTGTAAGTATTTATATACAAACAGATTTAGTTTGAGAGCTGAAGTGTTTAGTTTTCTTTAACATATATAGTACCCCCAAAAGGACTTACCTAGAGCAATGAACGATGATGATAGTTCCTGAGTATTTATCTCCAAAGATAGATTGGTCCATGACAGGGGAGTTTCATCTTATTTTTACTGTATATGCAAAACTAAGGCTACAATGCATAATTTGAACATTGTTTTCTTTTATAAAAGTATGGGACTTTTTTGATCTTTTGGATTTGATGCTTTGACTTTTGGACTAGCACAAGCAAACTGCTCTTTTTGGATTTAAAGATAGGTATCCCCCACTCACATGGTTTGTTTCATGAGTTATCACTATTCACCTTGCAAGAGAAAATTCTGTGAGAGGGTTGTGGATCAAAAGAGATGCCTAAAAATTAAAAAGGGCCCCAACACCCAAATTGATTATTAGGGTTTGTTGGCTAAACTTTTTCCTCATACATTAGACAACTTTACCATATCAAGACTTCTGAAAATCCACACCTAAAAAATTTTACACATAGCACAACAAATTCATGAAACCTTTAGATCCTTCCTTGCAAAGCATACGTCAATTCGTGGAAGCTTTTGTGTTGTAAATAACACCTTCGTTATCTTTATTCTTTCTATTGTGTGTGACATGTTACCACTTATAACTTCTTTTTGGTTACTTTTTGTTTGTTTTACTTTCCCAAAATGCTTTGAGACACAAGAAAGCATGGAAATTCCATGCACCTGGGTTGCCACGTCATCATTCATGCAAAGCTACACCCATTTGTTGATGCACTCATGGGTGATCATAAGCCCATACTTTTAGGGCTTTTGTCTTTCATGTGAGATGATCCAGCCACCATCATGGTTGAAGGTGATGGAGAGGCACATGGAAACTAAAAGGTCATCTTCCCAAAAAAGAGTACACATTACAACCAAAAAGAAAAAGAGAAAAGGGATGAAAAGAAGATAGAAAAAAATTAAGGAGAAAAAAAAGGTTAAAACAGCCCACGCTCCCCTGTCCTACTAGATAATGCTCTCCTTCAACACTCTCATTCAAGATCTTATTTATTTCTCCTCGTTGGGAAGAATAAAGGAATCAAACATTGCCCTGTCCCTGAGTTGGGTGTATCGGTTTGTGTTATAGAGACATTTAGATAGTGAAAGGAAGAGAAAAGATGTAATGAATGAATAAGGGTAGTGTGATTAATGTAAAGGCATAAAGGAATCAAATAGACCAAAACCAACCATAGTAGGAAAAATCCAAGTAGAGGCTAGCTTTTTTAACACAAGTGACAAATTAATATTTCCAAGGAATTCACTGGAATTCTATTGATATATGTATATATGTCTCTTTCTATTTGACATATCTCCATTAACGGGAAGAAATCATTCCTAAGCTTATCTAATTACAACCTGCTTCGTTTATGACTTGTTATTTTCATCATTGTATTCTTAAAACATTGGCCCTCATTACTGTTGGCTTCCACAAAGATGCATCATTTTAATATTTTGCTAGCTAGCTAGGGTTCTTCTGGATAAAAAGTTGAATCATGTGCTCATCACAGCTGCTTCGTCCCACCATTATTCCTAAATGCCCCTCCACAATTAAAAGGGATATCAATAAGAATAGTTACCGAAATTCCATTTGGTTAATTTTCTTAACGAATTTTTTTTCAATTTTTTTAGTGTTTCATTCTGCTACTGGAAAACAACACAATCAATTTTTTTTAGATATATAATGATATACAAAAGTAACAACGGTTTTTAACCCTATGACTTTATGTAAAACAATGAAG